TGGTGTTGCTTTAATAATTGGGATACCAGTAGAATATCACATATAAACCAGTTTTCTATAAAGAGAGTCTTGTTTCTATGTATGATGTTCATGTTGTTCTAGATAAAACATTTGTGTTTGGACAAAAGTGCCGAATGTCACGTTTGATTAAGTTTTGATCTTCTGTTTAACGCTCGCGGGTGAAAACGTAAAAATATTTTATCGGATGTGCCTTTCGTTTACACGGCGACTGCGTTTTTGGGGCTTTAAAATGCAAAAAAGTGAAACAACCCTCCAGAGTGGAAATCTTAAAAACGCTCCACCGCCGCGTTGCCAACTAAGGCTATGTTTACACAGAAACGATTCTGAAGAGAAAACGCAAAATTATGGTTGGGAAATCCGCGTGCATATGGTGACGCAAAAGTGTGTGAAATTCGATGTAGTGTGCACTCCAGGCGGCTAGGTGGCGATGTGGAGCACTGCCACACAACTACACCAAGTCCGCGCGCCTGCGTACAACCTTCACTGTCAAGCAGACTTTTGCGTTATTACCGTTTACACGGGAACGCGATGGTGGAGCGTTTTTAAGATTTCCACTCTGGAGGGTGGTTTCACTTTTTTGCGTGTTTAAGCCTCAAAAATGCTGTCGCCGTGTAAACGAAAGGCACATCAGATTAAAAATATTTTTACGTTTTCACCCGCGAGCATTCTCGTGTAAACAGGGCCTAAACGTCCACCGTCGCGTTCCCGTGTAAACGGTAAAAACGCAAAAGTCTGCTTGACAGTGAAGGTTGTACGCAGGCACGCGGACTTGGTGTTGTTGTGTGGCAGTGCTCCACATCGCCACCTAGCCGCCTGGAGTGCATACTACATCGAATTTCACACACTTTTACGTCCACCGTCGCGTTCTCGAGTAAACGGTAAAAACGCAAAAGTCTGCTTGACAGTGAAAGTTGTACGCAGGCACGCGGACTTGGTGTTGTTGTGTGGCAGTGCTCCACATCGCCACCTAGCCGCCTGGAGTGCATACTACATCGAATTTCACACACTTTTGCGTCCACCGTCGCGTTCCCGTGTAAACGGTAAAAACGCAAAAGTCTGCTTGACAGTGAAGGTTGTACGCAGGCGCGCGGACTTGGTGTTGTTGTGTGGCAGTGCTCCACATCGCCACCTAGCCGCCTGGAGTGCATACTACATCGAATTTCACACACTTTTGCGTACACCGTCTCGTTCCCGTGTAAACGGTAAAAACGCAAAAGTCTGCTTGACAGTGAAGGTAGTACGCAGGCGCGCGGACTTGGTGTTGTTGTGTGGCAGTGCTCCACATCGCCACCTAGCCGCCTGGAGTGCATACTACATCGAATTTCACACACTTTTACGTCCACCGTCGCGTTCTCGAGTAAACGGTAAAAACGCAAAAGTCTGCTTGACAGTGAAGGTTGTACGCAGGCGCGCGGACTTGGTGTTATTTTGTGGCAGTGCTCCACATCGCCACCTAGCCGCCTGGAGTGCATACTACATCGAATTTCACACACTTTTGCGTCACCGTCTGCATGCGGATTTCCCAACCATAACGCTCGTCTTAACGCAGAATAAAAAGTGAAAACACAACGCCACTTTTGCGTTTTCTCTTCAGATCGTTTCCGTGTAAACATAGCCTTAGTCACATGTCCTTGGACCATGTCTACCCTCATTAGTTCATCTTCGTCAGCCGTGTCTTGTTAATCACCTTCACCTGTGTCACCTGGTTTGGTTAATCAATGTCTTTATTTATGGCGCGTTCTATTAGTCATCCGTCTCGGAGATCCGAACCGGACGACAGACGTTGCCTAGCAACGGACGTCGGACAACTGCGAGGACACCGAGCAAGAATTCCGTTTCGGAATTCAAGATGACATGTATGAATTGTTTTCATTGTTTTGAACCGCTTTGGTATTTTAAATGACGATTACAATCACTCGTGTATTACTGCGTCCCCTGTAGGTATGGGAATCGGTTGTTGTGAGTGCAATTACTAACGTTGCTGGAATTGCTAACAGATGATTAACATGAAAAACATGAAATAAAGTTCAAATGACTGCATTTTGATAAGGTGTAGTCATAATATATTGTTTTAATGTAAGTGCCTGGTACTCGGCCAGTGCTACCATTACAACAGCTTTCCGGGTGGCGTCCATTTTTTTCTCCGACTCGGACACGCAAAACATAATAGAACGCTTGAAGTGTGGACGTGACGTCATATCCGAGGTCTGAGTCGGTTCATTGGCTATAATAGAACACACCATTAGTTCCTTCAGTTCAGTCACTCTTTGTCAGTAGTTAGTCTTATGTAGCGTGAGTTTTCCTGCCTGTTTGTACCTGTCTGAAGTTTCGTGGTTAGTAAAAGTATTTGTATTGGCTATATCGCCTTGTTTCTTTCTTCTGCCTGCATCACGTGAGACACCCAACAAGTCGGAGCGTGTTCATGACTGGCAGTCTGTTGAGGAGTATGGGCACAGAAGCAAAAATGCAATTTTTATCAAGTTTTCTAAAAACAAAGTTTGGAACTATGTTCCGTAAACACTTGGGATTTTTCAATTTTTTTCATTTTTTTTTTCATTTTTAATATCTCATTGAAAAGAGAGAAGTCGAGATGTGGGGGAAGGTTATCTTATATTTTCTTATTATATAATCTTTTATTTTATACAGGATTGACAATGGCAATTGTATAGGAGGAAGGATGGAAATAAAAATCGACCAACACAATATTGGCAACATGGTGGTAGTGGGGAGTGGGGTGGTGATGGTAATGACAATGGTAATAAATAATAAATGGTTACTTTGTTTAATCATACACTCACATACACACTTAGATCAAACACTTAAATCACTCTTATGTCACTTCTGGAATTATGGATTTACAAGATTGCTCACTACTGCACTATGTTGGTTTGTTTGTATGTACGTCTGATTGTTAAATAAAAAATTTAAAAAAAATGAAAAGAGAGAAGTCAATATACAGATAAACCCCTCCTCAATTTTATTATTCAATATGTTTTTACAGATTTTATTTGTTGTATATACAAATTGAATATCATGCAAAAGTTCATTTATTTCAGTAATTACTATTATTATTGAATTAATTCAACTTAAAAAGGTGAAACTAATATATTATATAGACTTAATACATGCAAAGTGAGATATTTCAAGCCTTTATTTGTTATAATTTTGATGATTATAGTTTAAGAAAACCTTTTCATAATATTCAAATTTGGGGTTTTCATAAGCTGTGAGCTAAAACGTAATTTATTGTTAATGTAATAATGTGAATATGTAATACCTCTTGTTCTTATGGCATTGATTGATCTCGCCTACTCTTAATCTACACTGAACATGCACATCTTAACTCCATAATCTCTACTCTATCATTCATTTTTCTAGACTCGTTTTCTCTGATCACGCCACTGGGTTGACAGTAAAATAAAAATAATGTAATTTGTGGATAATGTTGCCTCATGGGTAATCGTGCCTGTGCACGTTTAAACTTTAATGACGTAATTGAAGCCTAGGCTACAGCGCATGCGTGTTAAAACGTCAACTACGGATTTGATATCTATGACATCATCGCGCTAGGAGCGAAATCTGATCGGATTATTTTTTGACATGCTTGCCGAGAAAGGCTTACCAAAACAAAGTTACTGGGTTGTTACTTTTCACATTTACTGTGTTGGTAGATGCACTAGCACTTAAACACTGGAAAAATATCATGATGTGCCACCTTTTAAATACATTTATATTTCATATAGGCTACATGTACTAGTACTGAAACACTGCCCATCCCTCATACGCTTATTTTAAAAACAATAAAATGTTCTTTTATTTATTTCTCTCATTTTTCTTTGTCACCGGTAGGCTAATCTAGGCCTGTGTGATGTAATGAAGCGCATGGTTTTATCCACAAAAAATTCTTTAATTAAAATCCAAAAAAGATAAACATCAACAATACTAGAAAGAGGAACGGAACGAAACTCATGGCTCAACTTAACGCTTTTTGACTTTCTAAGTTTGTGTAAATCCACATAGGGTTAAAAGTATTTGTTTTTCCGCACAATAATTTCGCACGTCTAATACAATTTTCTGGTTTTGTTTCAGTAATGTGAAATGTGACAACATGCCCCATGGGTGGGGTACATTGTAACATGACCATTTGACAGAATTAAAATGCTATCTGATCTTTTAAAAAATTAAACGAGACAAATGAAAATATTTTCTAAATATAATTTTCAATAGTGTGACAATTGAAAATTAGCATTAAAGAACGACCTAGGTATAAGATTAAAATAATAGCAGATTTGTCTAATTTTAAATAAACACATAAAAAAAGAGATGAAAAATTAACTTAAAATTACTTTTGGTTAAATAAATGTGCAGTGATACCCACCATAGATAATAGTGTTGATATGGCAACTACAGTATAGTACATTTCGCCTTGTCATGCTGCATGTGTGCAAGTATTAAAACTAGTGTGTTAACAATACATTTCTTTTATTTATAGTGCACTTCACATTGAAACGACATCTCAAAGTGTTGCACGATATTAAAAACAGCTCCAGAAAACATCACAAAATCCATAAATAGCAGGAATCAAACTGACCAGACATGTTAGATAAGGGCTGACAATCAAGGAAACAGATTAAATTTAGGCAGATGAAACAGGAACAGAAGAGAAAACGAAACCCTGAAAATCATCCATCGTAAAAATTAACTAAGATAAACATCTGAATAACTTGAAGCCATTCATTGGAGTCATTTAATTAAAGCCATTGTACTATGCTTGTGTGAAGCAAATAATTTTGGGCTTTCAAAAGACACACCTATGTTTACTTATATAAACTAATGCTCAAGCTTTTTTACTTCTGTCATATCAGAATGGTCAATGGTTGCGTATTGTGATGTGATGTGGCAAAGGGGTGGAACTGGATATGCAAAACAAAGAAAAAGGTGTAACTCAACATTCGTGACACTCGCCAAGCCGGTTTGTCGTGGAATAGCAGAGCTGAGTGAAAATGCATCTGAAATAACAGGTTCATCATTTCTATTAACAGCAGAAACATGGAGGAAGTCAATGAAGAACGACGGTAAAGTACTTTAGCATTCTTTTGTGTGAAATTGTGTAAGCATAAAATACTTTCATTTATCATCCGTACTGTAGCAAATGTACTGTTAATAATTGCAAAATAGAAGTGGATTTAGAGAACAATTAACACTTTATATAAGGTTTCATTAGTTAACATGAAGTGCACTTCTATATCATTAACGTTAGTTTCAACATTTTCCTTGTTATGATGCAAAAATGAACAAACAGTGAACAACAATTAACAAAGATGAACAAATAACTGTAACAAATGTTACTTAATACACTCTAAATACTTAATACACTCTAAAAAAAGTATTGTTGGTTTAACTTAAAAAAGGTAGCTTACATGGTTGCCTTAAAATATTTGTTGATTGAAATTAAAAATTTGAGTTAGTGCAACAAAAGAAGATTGGTTTAATTATAGTAATTCAAAATCATTGTGTTTTCCGAACCACATATTTAAGTTGATTTGACAAAAGATAAAATTTCAACAAATCATGGAACTATTTTTACAGTAATGTTAACAAATGAAAACGTATTGTAAAATGTTATCAATAAGTTTTTTATCCAGCTTGTTGCTTTTTACTGGAAACCTCATCAGGAATGTGTATTGATCACTTTTGAAAAAACTTGTGCTGACAATTTACTCACGCCCGTGTCATTCAAGATGTCCACGTCATTCTTTCTTCAGTCGAAAAGAAATTAAGGTTTTTGATGAAAACCTTCCAGGATTTTCTCCATATAATGGACTTCAATGGGAACCAAACGGTTCAAGATCCAAAAGACAGTTTCAGTGCAAACTGTTCAAAGGGTTTTAAATGATTCCAGATTATGAATAAGGGTCTTATCAAGCGAAACGATCGCTCATTTAATGAATAAATAACAAAGTTTAAGTTTTATAAGCTCAAACGCTCGCCTTGCTCTGTTCGTGACTCTCCTGTTCATCAAAATGAACAAATCTTTTCCAGAGTCAACTCATTCCTTTCGTTCGTTGAATGAACCAAATGACACGAAAAAAGATTTGTTCATTTTGATAAACTAGTTTGAACAGGAGAATCACAATCGCACATTGTGATTTGAGCTTATAAAACTGAAACTTTATTTATTTTTTTTTAAATGAGCGATCGTTTCACTTGATAAGACCCTTATTCAAAGTCTGGAATCATTTAAAGCCCTTTGAACAGTTTGCACTGAAACTGTCTTTTCGACCTTGAACTGTTTGGACCCCATTGAAGTCCATTATATGGAGAAAAATCCTGGAATGTTTTCATCAAAAACCTTAATTTCTTTTCGACTGAAGACAAAAAGACACGGACATCTTGGATGACATGGGTAAATTATCAGCAAAAGTTTTTTGAAAAGTGAACTACTCCTTTAATGATAACAAAAGTTTGAATTCGTCGAAACATAGACATGCCCAAAACCTTGTTTTCTTTTTTCAGTCAAGTGCAATCAAACGGCAGATGCAGATATCGTCATTCATATGTTATATTCAGCATTTTGGTGATACTGGCGATGTGTTACTATGTCATCGTTAATGAAAACTCGGAAACCTGGAAGGCAACCATTGGAGTATTGTTTCAAAAGACATTTCACAATAAAACGTCCAGCGAAACGCTCAATACGGTAACGAGAGGGATCGTGTCACCGACTACGGTAACGAGAGGGATCGTGTCACCGACTACGGTAACGAGAGGGATCGTGTCACCGACTACGGTAACGAGAGGGATCGTGTCACCGACTACGGTAACGAGAGGGATTTCTGCTGCACCGTGGAAACCTCCAGATCCCTATTATGTCGCTTACCCACACAAATATAGCTTTGTTATTAATGAGCCAGAGAAGTGCCAGAAGGAAAATACTTTCGTGGTGCTAATAATACCAGTATCTCCAGGAAACGTGGCCGCTCGGGATGCGATCCGGTCCACATGGGGTTCGGAGAAGGTAGTGGCGGACAAGACAGTAAGTCTACTATTTCTAATAGGTTGGCCAACTTCAGAAGACAGCGAAAAGCTCCAAGAGGATTTGTTGCGAGAAAGCGAGAAGCATCATGACATTTTACAAAGTGATTTCTGGGATAGTTACTACAATCTCACCATTAAGACAGCGGTAATGCTGGAATGGCTTTCTGCTTATTGCCAGAATGCGCAGTACGCGATGAAGATCGACTCGGATATGTTTCTCAATGTGAAAAACTTAGTGAATTTGCTTCTGCCGGCACCAAAGCAGAACTATATGACCGGACTTGTGGCCAGGAACGCAATGGTTTTGAGAGACCCCCATTCTAAATGGTATCTCCCAATAACGGCTTATTCCCCGTTTCACTATCCTCCCTACGCTCTGGGTTTAGGATATGTGTTTTCTCTGGACTTGGCAGGGAAACTTATTGAAGCAGCTCAACACGTCAAAGCGGTTTATATAGAGGATGTGTTTGTCGGCATGTGCATGAAACATTTAGGCATCGATTTGACCAATCCACCCGATGGAAGCCTATTCAACGTCTTCCCAGTGGATTATAATCGCTGTCACTATTCGAAACTCATCGCCACAACGACACGAAGCTTGGAAAACATAGTCAACTTTTGGAGGGATTTACAGACACCTGGGCCATATTGCTAACAACAGTTTGTGTACTGGTCTTATAGTCAAACCAAAAAGTATTCAGACGCCATGCAGATATCATATTTTTTAAGCGTGTGAAGGACTCAATACTTCATTTATGTAAGTGAGGATAGCAAAATAAAGCAAACTGTGACATATAACACACAAAAATTTCTCATACAAGTAAAAAGTATACATTTTTAAGATGGATATATTATCAAAAAGTCCTGCCATGGAAGGCTAATTTATGTGTAAGACAGTCCAGATAAAACTGGGTGATTTGATAACTCGAGTTCTTGTCATATTTACATAAACTGATAATGTGAGAAATGTTGTCATTTGTCATGAATGAAACACCAAAAACATAAAACCTGGGTTCGGATCTAAGATGAGAACAGCCAAATAAACTATTTAAGACCAAGATTAATTAAATAGGATAAAAAACGACTACCCAAACTAGACAAACACGAGTTACATTTTTGTAGTATTTTGTTGTTGTTGTTGCTGTGCTGTAGCTACGTGTTTTTGTTTATAATAACTTTTAATGGCTGTGATCAGAAGAACTTTAATGTGTGTTTTAATATTAAAAATATATTTTGTCAATATTTTGTCATAAACAATTTCTGGAATCTTATTTCAGGATCGAGTTTCTCAAAAGCATTGTGATCCGAGTTCGTTTAGAGACCATTGTTGGCCAATGATGCATTTGAGATGCAGGTCAGCAAAAAAATTCAAAATCTGTATGCAAAGAAGAGGTAATATGGGTTATGATATTTGTTAAACAAAATGTATTTCTATGGGTTTGAAAGAGATAAGCTTTCAATAGCTGCATGGCTGCACTCTGTTTTATTGTTTTATTCTATTGTGTTCAGTCGGAAATGTAATGTAAATGAATGCCACAGGAACTAGAACGTATTTTAAAGACACTATTCATTGGCGTTTCAACTCTTTGATAATAAGTTAAAGTCCCATTTAATGCTAGCTAGAGCAACACATTGATTTTATGGTTATGAAATCTACTACATTCTTAAAAATAAAAGTTTCAAAAGGGGGTTTCAGCAGCGATGATGTATAGAGAACACATTTTAGTTCCCCAAAAAACCTTTCAGTTCTTAAAAGAAGAACATATAAAAAAGCATTGTTTCGTTGATGTTATAGGTTCATAGCCTGGGTTTCACCCATGGGCGAGGCTAGCCCCTTTTTAGGGGTGCTTCAGCACCCCTAAAGAGGAGCTCAGCACCCCTAAAACTTGGAGCAAGAAATGTTGTTATTCTAAAAATTTTGTTCGTCTTTGACACAGTTAAATAATGTCCAAAACTCAGTAGTTTGTGGTTTAAAATGAAATGAAAAAGAAAACTTTTCTCTTCTTCTAACGTTACTTCTTTATACCTGCACCGCTCAGCACGGCCGTCATCCAGCGCGAAACACGCAGAGTTATGAGAATCCGGGCCGTTAGGTAGTTTTGTGAATCAACTGAGACGCTCCAGAGCTGTGTCTCACACACTTTTTTTTCCTTTCAGTTGTTCCGATTCCGAAACCATATCGGTGAGTACTGGAGTCAGTATCCTGAATTATTGGTACACCTATAATAAGTGGTTATTTTCGGACTGTTTTAATCTAGCGGGTCGCCTCCGCTGTGGAGTAACGTTAGCGGAGTGGCAATCGGGAGAGTCGGGAGTTTTCCCGGTGAGCCGGTGGTGTTTCGAGGCCGCGAGGGCCGAACTGATAAAATTTATACATTGCAAGTTCGCCATGCGCCCAAGCGAGGGGAAGAAAAAAAAATGTTTTTTTTTTTTTTTTTTTGTGCATTTTCGATAACGGAGCTTTGCCTGTCTAACGGAGAAGTGCCTGTCTTTCTAGTAAATAGATGCACGTCACGGAGTACTACAGTGGCGTAGGTCGTAGGACGTGAGTGAAGTCAGATGCGCTCGAGGTCGACCTGAGTTCGAATCTGCCTTTTGCCTAACTCTCTCTTCTTTTCCCAACACACATGAGATGTAAAATGTATAGGCTAATGTAAAATGTATAACCTAACATAAAGGGCTCTAGTGTTATATTTTGCCAACAAACTAAAATCGAATCCATGATATGGCTTTTTGCCTATATAAAACAGCACAAATTTTGCTGGGTGATTTAAAGAAAAGTGTGCACTTTGCTCACGCGATCAGCATGGTTATATCTGGTATTTTCTCCTAAATAAAAGCTTACGGGTTTATTTCTTGCAAGTGTAGAAATATGATAAAAGTATTTTAATTTTCCTATAGTGTAATGTTGACTAAAATATACTTTTGAAATATTAATTTTCATTATATACATTTATAGGCTATATGGATTTTACATCATAGGAATAATTATATAAATCATTATTACATTATTATATTATAATAATTGTTTAGGATCCTAAAACACCATTGATAATGTAATGTAGACTGAGACTCAACTAAAAAGATGTTTGAGCCCTCTTTGTTGTCCTGGTACAAATCAATGCTTTTTCTTTGTTCAACGAGCAGTTCATGGGTTGAAGCTCTTAATTTTGATCTCTCAAAGAGCACGAGATTGATGCATTTAACCTTAAAATGTACACAATTTTCTAACGGGGGAGCATGCCCCCGAACCCCCCTAGAGAAACATAGTCCACCCAACATAGTTTAACAAATTTGTTAATATCTTTAAGGTTGTCTTTTTTACTGCTGGCTGGGGAACTACTGATGAAAATTAGCTCTTTTAGCTAACTCGGGTACATTTTCATTGTTCTAATGTTGATTAATGTGTACACTGCCCCCCTTACAAATAACTAATTAAATAAATAAAATGAAGAGAGAGGGGGAGCGTATATGGGTGTAAAATGTGGGTGGTGGCAGTGGGGCTCATTGGGTGCTCAGCACCCCTAAAGCTCTGACCCTAGAATCGCCCCTGGTTTCACCATTGCCGCAGCGCGATTTTATTCATATCACATTTTAGCCTATTTCACAGAAAGGGAGGGAGCGGCAAGACGATGACGACGTCTATGCGACACCGAAGCAGTTTGTTTATCTATGGTCCATCTTGGCAGCGGACGCGAAGTTACCTTTTGATACAGCCTTTGTTTTGGGAAAAGAAAATTTGGGACTTTTATTTTCCCAAATCGTCGAACTGCACCGGCTTGTAGGGCTTGGGTGCCGCGTTGCATTCTAACAGAGACTGACAGGTCCGATGGAAGTGCTATTGTGTTATGAGAATATTAAAATACGGGATATTTTACAGGAAAATACTAAAACAGGAAGACAGCGGGAAAAGACCTCAAGTACGTGAGAAACGTGAGGGTTGACAGCTAACAACTACACTTTTGAAACACGTTAAAAGTACATGAGTGAATGATTGTTACCACAGTTACTAAACTAGCACTAGCATCCGTTACCTTTGTCCGGATTAGTTACTGTGTTCCCACTGTTTGCCGACTCTTTGTTGGAAATTTCATATGGATCCATTCCAAAACGTTAAAAGTGCCGGTTTAGTCCACATACCGGTCACTGGCTTCCCTATTTAAAATCCCGGTAAATTCCACTACCTTTTAGGGATTTTAACATCTTCTTTCTTTTCTTTACCCCAACTCTATCTGCTGCTTCTTCTCGTCGTTCGACTTGCTAGTTTACATGCGTGACGCTGCCAACATGGCCACCACGCCAGTAATGACGTCACGGCGCCCAATAAGCCCATAATTTAGTATCAAAATTTTGTTCATTGAGTCTATCTCTAAATTCTGCTTCACGTCACGTGAAATGCGGTCTTCCAACGTTTTATTATCGTGTCAATTGATTTGATTAATATGCGCGAGGGAGAGAGAGAGAGAGAGAGAGAGAGAGAGAGAGAGAGAGAGCAAGGCTAATGTTGTTTGAAGACGTGAGAGTGTGCGCGCGTGGTCCGGTCTCTCTCTCTCTCTCTCTCTCTCTCTCTCTCTCTCTCTCTCTCTCTCTCTCTCTCTCTCTCTCTCTCTCTCTCTCTCCCCTTAAAAACCCTTGATTTTTAATCCTCTCTTTTCCAATGGTATGTTACAATCCAAAGGAATAAGCGCAAGTTTTGTTAAAGCAGGAATATGTAAAATAGGTCATCTTCGAATTTGGGATAAATGGATTACTGCAGAAGAATTAGCTTTGAAGGTTGGTATTCATTCTGTTCGTACTGTTGAACATTTTTTAACTGAGATACAGGAGTATGTTATGGCCTTACCTTTGCTAAAAGAAAGGGTGGAGAATGTATTTCCCAGTATAAGGGTGGGGATAAATGTAGGAAATTGGCAGGAGGGTGATGGAAGATTACTTTCTTTTACAACACCTGAAATCGGTTTCTTTGATATGATATCTAAGAAGTCTTTTTATATGGTTTGTGTAAAAGTTTTAAATTTAAGAGCACTGCAAGATCTCCCAGAGACCAAATGGACTAATTTTGTTGAAACAGGCACTTCTCCAAAAGGAAGTTGGAGGACATTGTATAAGAAGCCAATTGAGAAAAGAATTGGAGATTTGCAATGGAGGATTTCTCATTGGATTGTGGCAACAAACTGTTATAAGTTGCATTTAAAAGTTTTGCAAAGAGAAGATTGTCTGTTTTGTGGCTTACCAGAAACAGTGTTTCACATGCTTATTGGCTGTCCTAGGTTAATAGGATTATTTGGTGTGTTGAAAGATTTGAGCCATAATTTTGGTTTTATTTTTACAAACAGTTTGTTTATTTTTGGACCCAAATACAGTATCTTGAACAAACGTAAAATTGTGTTGATTAATGTCTTATTTGGTGAGGCCAAAATGGCAATTTGGCTGACCAGAAAGAGAAAAATGCAGTTTAATCCTGATCCTTTGAATATGTTTAGAGCAATGGTAAAAAGTAGACTGGTTATGGAGTATAAGTATTATGAATTGGTGAAGGATACTGAATCTTTCTTCTTCTTATGGGGTGTTGGAAATATTTTATGTGAACCCAGTGAAGATGGAGGATGGAATGTATTGTTATTGGCTGTGTTTTTTATTTAATTTTTTTTTTTTTTTTTTAATGAAATTGTTTTAAAGAGTAGTTTTTTATGAAGTGATGTGATAAAGGTGTAATTTGTATCTGGAGTGAAAAATGAGTTGTAATTAAAAGAGATGTTGAAAGTCAAAGTCTCTCTCTCTATATATATATATATATATATATATATCTCCCTCTCTCTCTCTCTCTCTCTCTCTCTCTCTCTCTCTCTCTTATTATTATTATGCGCCCTGTCAAGCACAGCAGTCATTCTATTCGACATCACTCACCGACCAAAATAGGCTTTGGCGGGAAAAAATTTGCTTTGGAGGCCGAAGATTAACTAACCGAAACTAAAAAACAGAGCCGGCCTCTATTTGAGACTGGCTTTTATTCACCCAAACCTGCAGGCGCGTAAAAGAGACAGGCGTCTAACTGAGACTCGGCTATTAATTGAAGTTTTACGTTAAATCTCTGACCCATCATCTTTTTCCTCATCCAATTTTCTGTCGCTCTACATACGTCATCTGGTATAATTGGCTATGAGCTATGTACAGGGTCATTTGATAGACATTTGTAGCCATAGATATGTATATAAAGGCTAGATGTGTTACGGCGGGGTTTCAATCGTCATCACCGGCGGCCATCTTGTCACAGATAAGCTGATGTAAGATGAGTCGAACACAAATACTCTTATCTCGTAGAAATCTTGACGGATTTACAAACGGTTTGGTTTCTTACAAACGTTATTAACATGGCTATAATTATCTGGATGATTATTTATTTATACACTTTTTATTCATAAGTATGCAGTGTCATAACTACATCTCTGACGTTTATAACAAAATAAACCGTTTGAAAATCGGTAGAAAATTGAGCAAGTTATGGTTATTTAAATAGTACATGTACCATTAACACAATGTTACGAGTGAGCGAGCTGTGACAAGATGGCCGCCAAGTGCAGACGTCGACCTCCATTGGCCAGCAGCGTGGACGACATATCTAGCCTTTATATACATCTCTATGTTTAGCACCCAATAATACTCCTCCGGGCATTCGTACATACGAGAAAAAAGGACATGTGGTTTCGAGACCACGTTTTATTCTCAATGATACGTGGTCATGCCGATGAACAACATTTGTTTTCGATGCCAATAAACAGCCTTTGTTTTCTAACTTCTCAACATGATGTTCATATAAGCTGTTTTCAACTATCAGTGTCTCACACTATATGTTCCTTGTTTAAAAGAAGCTTCTACGCAGCTTTCGAATGCTTGAATCTGATTGGTTTAGGCCTATGGACTTTCTTAGTTGTACAGTTATTTCGTTTTTTCAGTCATTTCAAACGTCCTTACAGCAGGGGGGAATTGCACTATAGATGCATTAGAAATGAATTCTACACACAAGAGCGTTTAAGGACAAAAACCTACAACATCTGTGCAATCTTCGGGTGTGGTATTGAAGTAATTGACTATAAATGACAATCCGTTGAATTAGGCTGTCAGAAAATAAATTTCGCGTAGCGGTCTGTGTTGTACGTCACGCATCACACACATGACCAGCAATAGTGAGCCTTGATATTCCAGTAACCTAGAGTAGATCTGAGTTCAAATGCTCGGACACGTCGCAAAGTGAAGCATTCACGCGACTGGAAAAAAAGTGAGGCTTTGTTTTTCTTTGATCTGAAGACACGGTGGAGCTGCGTGAGAAATTGCACTGCGAACTGATGATTTTTATCTGTAAAATAGTTTAGCAACTTAAAAGTGAAATGACATTTCTGTCTCTTGAGGCTATAATGGCGTTGTTGAAGCAGATAGATCGCTATTAGTATAGGACGATGCTGAACAGAGAGAGAGGCACAGACTCGGGTAATTCACACACGCTTAACTCCCTCTAATAACAGCATTAGTCAGTCTGCTATAAATGTCTCAAGGCTATAGCTCTAGCCTCTAAAATGACGTTTTGTTATTCGCAATGGACTCATGGGATGACATGCATTAGAAATTAATAAACATTTTTGTCTTTGTTAAAGTCAAGTTGTCATAACAAAGACATTTTAAACAACGTCAACTTTGCATTAAAAGTGTCATAATTTACCAAATGGCGCTTAATGACAACAGTCGTGAACATTCATAAAGACTCCTTCATGTTCATGACAGTGTCATGTCAGTCTTAGGCACACCCCTTCAAATGGGCTAAAGTGTTACCAAGATTACTTTATAAATGCACTGTGTTTGCAGTCCTGTGCTGGGTTGCCGCCAGCCATAAAATATAACAAAGTTGTTTAAGTCAGTCTTGTTTTCCCCCTCGGGATAGTTTTTGTTGTATTTTGTTTTATATTTATTATTAAAAATCCCATCAACTCTGCACTCGATTCGCTCCTTTCACCACCCCCACCTGACAACAATATTGTATACCGTAATGTCACTCAGCCTTACAGGTTTTTCCAGAAAGCAGGCGACACACCTATATAAAGATAAGAAGATAACCTCGACTTTCAGTTCCAGAAAAGGAAGGTAACTTTCCTGGTATGTAACAAGACAAATCGCTTATTCTCTGAACACTATCTGCTCAAGAAAAGCTCATGTTTCAGGGTTGGTATACACTTGTAACTCTGGTTCACGGACATTTCTCAGGCTTTGACCCGATTTCGCTTCTGTTTTGTGATCAGATCATTCTTAAGCTGCTTTATTTCAGGAATGATTTCAGTCCAATGATTGCGTGAGCGAATTAATTCAAACGATCAGTCTGCAAAACAGGCTTATTACATCAGAGAATAATGCAGACTGCATTGTGTTTTCAATTAATTATTCATGCAGATGTTTCAAATTAAAACGTGAGCTCAGTCATATTCTGTGATTTTTCTTTTTTTCTTTTTTTTTTTTTTTGATGAATGCATAAACCAAATTAAAAAAAAAACTAGTGGAATGCATAAAGGGTGTCAATTATAGTAAATCAGATGTAAACTTCAGAATCATGGCAGAAGGAGCTGGTACTTCCTCATATATACGTGCCCTGCTATTCACAAATTGATCTCAACCTATCAAAAACCTGTTGCATCAATCAACCAAATAAATAAATAGATAAAACCACAAGGTATAATTATCATCTGGGTCCAAGCACCAATGCCATGCAAATAATTATCTATCAAATTAAAAAAGTGTAATGGTGTTCTTACAGCATAGTCCATCTTGAATCTTCACTGACAGGTCAGGTCTGAAACAGGTTATAGTAATATACAGGTGTCTCATATGTGGTATAGGCTATGTGTGTGTGTGTGAACTCGTAAACCATTTCAAATGAATGACTGTCCGACATGCAACACAACATCTGCAAAGAAAAGTTTCGGTCATCATGAGCAGTAGCGGTTCTAGGCACGGGCGAACCGGGCAGTCGCCCGGGGCGGCATTTCTTCATGTCACATGGGGGGCGGCACGAGCAGTTAAAAAATACTCTGTGCCGCGAAGTTTTTCTATTTTTTATCATTTCGATTCAATTATTGGCAATGGCGCCCTGCTTGCTGAGAAGGTGCCGTGCGCAGAAGCGATGTCAAGGGGATCTCCGGATTAGTTCACGTGTCGCGTCTTTTGCGCGCTCGAGGTCGTTATTTAAAATCCTCTATGTTTCAAATAGGCGCACGGGAAGCGCGCTCATAAACTTTTCAGTATGCAGTGCACGTGCACCCAAACACTTGGGTGTTTTTCTCTTCTCCGTAAATAAATCTTTAAGCAGAGCTACAGCAAGCGTTTTTCTGTGGTGGAAATACATTAGCTACTAAAACTTCTTTGTCGTTGTGGAGAGCGCAGTGTAATGAGTGCATGGTTCTATAGCAACGACAGCCATGGGAGAATTTTACTATTAACAATAAAAGATAAGCTACTGTGCATTATAAATATCAGGAATGTATCTTTATTGACTCATTCTTTATAGAGATGATTTAAATGCCGAAATATGAGGTTTATCTTTTTATAAAACCTTTTTTTGTGTTAACATTTTTTTTAAGTATAGTAGGTAAGATAAAAGACACTCCTTTAAAACAAATCTTTAATGTTATTAACTTGGTGAATTGATTTCACTGTGTATTAGGCTTTTTAAACAAGATTCTGTGAATGTGATCATTTTGGTCACTATATTATCTAATAATTTTTATAATGATCAACTAAAATCAACTTTAATTATGTGTTTTTACAGTAGACTATAATATGCAAAGTACAAGTTTCTATTTTCTAAATAATCTCTGATTTTGGCCTTCTGTCCTCTGACATTTTAAGAGTGACAGTTAAGGGCTACAAAAGCTATTTTAGGTCAATAATAGTTTGGATAGTTGTTAATATGAGAGCTGTTCAAAATTATTTAAGAGATAAGTATTGTGTTACAAAATAAGTATCTCTCTGACCCTTTTACTTTTAAAAACTCCATTTCGTGATAACAAGTCATAACTAAAAGTGTACCATGCATATAATTCAAGGCAATAACCAATGCGCAGTTTCAGTTCCTCCCTTGAAAGTTAGATGAATTTGGGTTGTTGTTGTAACTGTGTTTTGGGTTGATTCTATTAACTGTGTTTTGGGTTGTTGTTTTGTTTAGTTTACTGGTGAACTTTTAATTTTTTATTAATAAGAACATACTCAATGCCAGGGGTAAATAAAATTGAAAGTACAATTAGAGGATACAGAATCAGGAAAATATCACACAGAAAGACAGTTTTAAGTTGCTGGATGTAAGGAAAGTGTCCAGCTAGGATTTAAGAGGAGTTTCACGTGATGAACTCCCACGGGCCCCGGATCCCGTTTAGACCGGAGAGTGCGCGGAGAGTGAGACCGCACGCGATCAGCCCTGCCACACAGAGACTCAATCTAAAGTCTATCAGGTTGCAACTTTGCATACATCAGAAGTAAGTGTTTAACCACTGTTTTAGTCAATAGTGCATGTATTTGGGCTATCGCGCACGCCGGTTTCAGAGCTGACAGCAGAGACCGGGCAAAAGCAAGCGCGTTTTGCATAAACGCACAGTTAGGCCTATGTTAAATCCTTGTTGTTGGCGATTGTTGCATGTATTTATTAGCAATGTTTAAGCATGCGTGGTAACTATGCATGAATCGATGTCTGTACTAGGCTATACCTGTTTAATGTTTTTCTCTTAAAGTTATCGTTGAGGTTATTAAACTCTTTAAGTAAACAACATGGTTTGCGCATGCTCGCAGTCCAAACCAGATTCAGCTTAGGCTACATAATAATTCTAAAATCTCTTTTCACTGACACTTCGAAAGCCGATTTCATTCATTCTGCTTTAACAGAAAACGGCACGTTTCGTGTTGTTGCCTATAAATGATTGTTAATCCTGTCATCATCAGTTAACTTACGGACAACCCAAACGAGTTTCTTTCTACGAGTTTCTCAAAAACTGTCCTATAAGAAACTGTCCACTGTCTTGTTTTTCGAGTATATCTGAAAAAACAACAACAACAACTACCTTGTTTCAAGGTTATATTATAGTAAAAAACAAGACGAATATAGAAAAAATAGCTTATTTGAATTGCGGTTCTTGCATTTTCACCAGAATATTGGTGTTTTTCACTATTCCCATAGTGTAAGATTGCAGAAAGAACATTGATTGTGCAGTGCGACAGATTTTGTGTGAAAATAAATTATAAAAGTGGTTCATTTTGTTTTATAATCATATGAATAAAGGTAGCGAGGACGGTCTTTTACCCCACCAGACACACAGTATTGATACAAATACTTTAGATAAATTAATATGTTTTTAATAGCGTCTAAATTAATACTTGCACAAAAAATCACTTAAGCAAAATTTGTACTATTTTGATTAAAAAAAAGTTTAATAAAGGTACGAGACGACGAGAGGCTGTGCTGAGTAACGGCTGAAGGGCGTTGTTAGGCTCGACGGGAAGCGGTCGGAGTAAGTCAGCCGTTACTTATTCACGATACAGCACTTGCCTCGAGTAGGCCTACCTCATTGCATTTATAAAATGGTTACCACACAATAAAAAATATTAAAGTAAAAAAGTTTTACTTTAGATTTTATTGAAGTAAAATCAATAAAAGTCTTCCTCCGCTAGAAAAAAATAGTCCCTGACCGTGAACAGCAACAACGCTCCAGTATGCGTGAAAGCTCAAATAAACACAACAGTGTTGCGCAGTGAGAACCGTTGGGTGAAGCGGTCGTGTTTTATCAAGAATAAAGCACAGCTATTGACCAATCAGAATCAAGGATTGGAACTAACCGTTTTATAAGTTTATATAAAAAATACAGAAACAAAATTATATAAAAGATAAAAAAAAAATTAGAGAGCATCGAAGGAGATCCCATATTAATTTAATATAGATTTACAGCTAGTTTTCAGCTTCCCATCTGGGCTGTATTATTGTTTAACGGCTATTGCATTGACAGCCATGTAAGACAAATGTAAAATGATTAAATAAGTTCTCTCAGGAATTGCAGCCAGAGAGACTGAAACCTAAAGATAGTCTCTTTTTGTCACTCATGACAACAGAATATCGCGATCATCACGTGACGAGGCTCTGGCCCATGTGGCGCTTGTTGTTGTTCCCCTCTGTGGGACTGATCTGAATGATGTCAGATGCATTTACACTTGAGGATCAGTTTACAGTGAGCCGATGTGCCACAAACCGTCCCTGGGGTCTCATTTCCAGCGCGATCTGATCCTCAGCTCATTCACACATAAAAGACTGCCAACGCCTCTTCACAAACCAGTATGGGGATTTTAGTAGGCCTAATAGATAAACTAAAACTGAAATTTCAAAAGAACAGACTTCTTTCTGAAATAGAAAGATGATTTAACATTATACACTACCGTTCAGAAGTTTGCGGTCAGTGAGATTGTTGTTTTTGGTTAGAGAGATAAAATAAATCAATACTTTTATTCAGCAAGGATGCATTCAATTGACCAAAAGTTACAGTAAAGACATTTATAATGTTACAAAAGCTTTCAAATAAATGAAATATAACTTTGAAAAAAAAAAAAAAAAACATTGTCCACAACATTGATAATAATAATGTTTTATGAGTTTTTTTTTTTTTTTTTTGGAGCATTAAATCATCATATTAGAGTGATTTCTGAAGGATCATGTGACACTGAAGACTGGAGTAATGATGCTGAACATTCAGCTTTGATCACAGGCTACATTTTAAAAGACATTCAAACAGAAAAGTTATTTTAAATTGTCATAATATTTAACAATATTATTTTTATTTGATCAAATAAATGCAGCCTCTTTGAGCAGAAGAGATTACTTTTAAAAACATGAAGAATCGAGATCCCAAACTCTTGAACGGCAGTATATCTATATATATATATACTGTATATATACATATATATATATATATATATATATATATATATATATGAAGAGTTCAGATGCAAAATCTTCTAAATGCCATTTGAAATTTTCTTCTAAAATTACCATTTTTATCAAGCTTGTATATTTAAGTTCAGTAATTTCACTTAAATGGCAATGATAATTACCTATTAATAGTTATTTAAGTGAAATTACTGAACTTAAATATACAAGCTTGATAAAAATGATCATTCTAGAAGAAAATTTCAAATGGCACCACTTAGAGGCTTTTGCATCTGAACTCTTCATATATACACTGCCGTTGGTGTGATTTTTAATTATTTATAATGTTCGTTTTTTTTTTTTACACTGCTACGAGTTAGTGTTATATTTCACACAGAGCTGCAAGTAAGAAAACAATATGAACAGGTGCATGACACCCTGAAGAAGCAAAAGTAGCGGAGCTGCATTCCTGTAACACACATATTTAACTAGATTGTCACCAAGATGTCCATTCATTTGACCAATCAGTCCAACAGGTTATCTAGGAACACGGACTGAAACCCGAGACGGGATTGGACGCCTTCGCACGCGAGCGATCAGAAGAGCAGCTCATTCACAAGCACAAGACCTTCCCTCTTCATCTGGTGCAGAACTGAAGATTGCATGAGAAATGGGTGAGAAATATGTACTCCTATATATGTATTTTATTTTATTTGAGATAAGTCAGTTAGTGTTTGACCCTAAATAATTGATTGAAGCATTTTGTATCAGCCATCTTGGTCGAAAACACAGTTTCGGTGATGATTGACTTACATTGTATTGTAAAAAACAAACAAAGAAACAAAAAAAACCTGTTAAATCTTAAAATGTTTAATTTTATGTTTCACAAAAGAAAGGAATTCACACCGGTTTGGATTGAGAGAGAATTTTCAGCAGAAAAAGTAACTAGGTCAGCGATAATCTCAAGGCAAATCCCTGAAAAATCAAAGGAAAGTCTCTGTAAATTTGGAATGAAATACTAGGATCTATATTGCGCACCAATAAAAGAAATGAAGGTTTTTGATGAAAATATTCCAGGATTTTTCTCCATATAATGGACTTCAATGGGAACCAAACGGTTCAAGGTCCAAATGAGAGTTTCAGTGCAAACTGTTCAAAGGGCTTTAAACGATTCCAGACGATGAATAAGGGTCTTATCAAGCGAAACGATCGCTCATTTAATAAAATAATCCTGGAATGTTTATATCAAAAACCTTATTCTTTTCGACTGAAGAAAGAAAGACATGGACATCTTGGATGACACGGGGGCGAGTACATTTTCAGCAAAAGTTTTTTGAAAAGGGAAGTTGATTGATAATGTTTTTACTCTTGTGAAATATCATCACTGCTATCCTGTGAGTAAATGAATTTAAATCAAACCCCAGTGAACTCTTTCTCTCTCCCCTTGTGTGTGTGTGTGTGTGTGAACAGCACAGAAGACAGCACTGATAGTTTATGCTCACCAGAGTCCCGTCTCGTTCAACGCCGCAGCTCGGGACGTCGCCGTCGAGGCGTTGACGAAGCAAGGCTATGAAGTCCTCGTGTCGGATCTCTATGCGATGAGCTTTAAATCCTCCGCTACTGCAGATGATATCAAGGGTATGAATTTTCTGTCATCTTCAAATATCTGCTTCATGTGCAAATGTAAGGAAAAAACTGCACAGATTCAGGTAATTCACACACGCATCTCTCCCTCTCTTTCGAGAATTAATTCAAATAAATGCTTTAATTCATTCATGCAAATAAGTGTAATCTTAGCTCCGTCTAATTTAAAGCGGGCAGAATGCTAGATCTAACGAGCCTTCATGTCAAATATTGCACTACAAACACCAATAACAGCTTTGACTGGTCAGTGTTTGCAAATCACTACGGTATAAGCGGGATAATCTTGTGCATTAAACCATTTGAAAAGGTTCACGTCTGGCCATTGTTTACCTCCACAAGTTTACACGTACATGAAATCATCTGTCCATTATCCAGACAGACCATGCTATAAATAAAGGAGCATTATAAAGCATATTTTAATTGTGTAATAGTGTCCTTTTTAAAATTATATTAAACAACACTTTTATTCAGAAATTATTATTTCAGGTTTCCCTGGAATAATTTTAGAATTTCGGACAAATATTGTTGTAAATGTTGCTATTGGTTTAAATGTCTGATTTTGTATATTGATTGATTGTTTTTTTAAGAAAAATTGTAAATATATATTTTTTTTGATTGACTGTAATCAGAATTATTTTTTTTGTTTTATTATTATTATAATTTTAGCTTATTCACCGTAGAGTTAGATAAGTCCATAAATCCCCTTGTCATCTCCGTGCGTGCCGCTACTGCTACTTGGGATTAGCACAACTCCTGAAAAGCACCGTTGTTACTTCCGTCGACAAAACCAATGCGACTAGCTAGCTAGAAGCAATCGTCCGAGGATTTTTTTACTTGGTATCAAACCAAGATCCAGACCAGAACCATATAGTTTTGAGCCAGATTGTTATCTTTACTGACTCTGTTACTCTGACTCACTGACTCACTGATTATACAAATCACAACATGTAAATAGGTAAATGTTGGCGTTATTTTGTCATGTATTGGGAGCAGTATGCTAGCTGGAGCCATTTACATCCAGTCTTTGTGCTAAGCTAGGCTAACGTTGGGCGTGTCAGACAGAGTTACGGCCATAGATATCCATAATAAAGGCTAGATGTCTTACGGCGGAGTCTCTATCGTCATCACCGGCGGCCATCTTGTCACAGGCAAGCTTTCTGGCGGACTGATGTAAGATGAGTGATCAGCACGAACACAAATACTCTCATCTCGTTGAAATCTTGACGGATTTACAAACGGTTTGGTTTCTTACAAACGTTATTAATGTGGCTATAATTCTGGATGATTATTTATTTATAAACTTATTATTCATAAGTGTGCAGTGTCATAACTATGTCTCTGACGTTTATAACAAACCAAACCGTTTGAAAATCGGTAAATTGAGTGAGTTATGGTTATTTAAAAAGTACACGCACCTTTAAAACACAATGTTACGAGTGAGCGAGCTGACTGTGGCAAGATGGCCGCCAGTGCGGAGAGTCGACCTCCATTGGCCAGCAGCGTGGACGACATATCTAGCCTTTATTAGGGATATATATGGAGATGAAAAGGGACTGTATGGATTTATCTAACTCTGGAGGATACTGTGAATAAACTAAAGTCCCAAAACGTCGGCATGCTCCTTTAAATATATATATATATATATATATATATATATATAAAAATAATAAAAAAATATATATAAATAGATTGCATGAGAAATGGGTGAGAAATCTGTCCTCCTATAAAAATAAATAAATTTAAAAAAAATATAAAAAAATATATAAAAAGATTGCATATAAAATAGATATATTTTTATTATTATTTTATTATTTTTTATTTTATTTATTTTTATTGGAGAACAGATTTCTCACCCATTTCTCATTCAATCTATTTATATATTTTTTATTATTTTTTTATTATTTTTTATTTTATTTATATATATATATAAATAAATAAAGGAGCATTAAATTACTGTAACTATTCCAGGTGATCTGAAGAACCCTGAGCACTTTGTGTACAATGACGAGATGATGACGGCATGGCAGGACGGGCGACTGAGCGACGACGTTTCAGAAGAACAACACAAGCTGGAGAAAGCAGAGCTGGTGATCTTTCAGGTATACTCATGTCAAATTATCATACATTTCACCTCGATCTAAGAACGATAACATGACTTGGATTATATTCGCAGTTCCCTCTCTACTGGTTTAGTGTGCCTGCCATCATGAAGGGCTGGATAGACCGAGTCTTAACTCAAGGATTTGCCTTCACCCTGCAGAAGATGTACGACAACGGCATTTTTAAGGTCTGAAAAAGGCTTTGTTTGGCTGATTCCTGTTTTTATGATTCATAACTCTGATCAGATTTAGTTTAAATGTTGTGCATTATTCACACCAGAATAAGAAGGCCATACTTTCATTCACCACTGGGGCAACAGAGTCCATGTTTCTGGCCGACGGCGTTCATGGAGACATCAATGTTCTCCTTTGGCCTTTACAGGTGAGATACATATCTCATATCATGAGCTTTGTTTGACCTTTCAGTTTAGTGTACTAGTTTCACAGCTTAAAACAACCCTCTCAAACAGAGCATTTATTAAAATGAAGCTAAAATACAGAAGTTTCATATTTTAGACTTAACACCCAGAGAGAACTTAAAAATTACGGAGTGTCATGATACACCAAGTGCAAAAACCCCGGCTTGTTGGCTAAATTCGGATTCGAAAATGCGAGGTGTGAAACATTGCACTGTTCACACAGAACAAGTTTTTTTTTAAATGTTGCTAGGCAACCACCGAAACAGCTGTCCCGTCGGTCAAGTAAACGTCAAATCAGCCTTATATTTACTTTATTTACTTTCTGTTACACTGTAAAAAAATCCAGCTGTTTTTACGGAAAAACTGGCAGCTGTGGTTGACAGAACTTCTTTTCCTTGAAAAATGATCTCGTAATTCTGAGATAATTGATTGATTGATTGATTGATTGATTTTATTTGACCACTTAAATCTAAAAACATGAAAACAGTCTGAAACTGTTTTATACATTAAAATCAAATACAAAAGTAGTCAGGGATAACACAATAAAGCCTGAAGACTTATTTCCATTATGGTCTCTAAAGGCAGCGGAAGAAGACAAGTGGCAACACATCACACATCAATCATTCTCAACTATAAATTCATCACACATTATCAACTCATTAATTCAGAAAAACAGAGCAAAAACTTCTTTTCATGAAAAATGATCTCGTAATTCGGAGATAATTTACTTGTTAATTCAGAAAAACAGAGCAAAAACTTATTTTCCTTGAAAAATTATTTAGTAATTCTGAGATAATTTACTCGTTAATTCAGAAAAACAGAGCAAAAACTTCTTTTCCTTGAAAAATTATTTCGTAATTCTGAGATAATTTACTCGTTAATTCAGAAAAACAGAGCAAAAACTTCTTTTCATGAAAAATTATTTAGTAATTCTGAGATAATTTACTCGTTAATTCAGAAAAACAGAGCAAAAACTTCTTTTCCTTGAAAAATTATTTCGTAATTCTTAGATAATCAACTCGTTAATTCAGAAAAACAGAGCAAAAACATTTTTTCCTTGAAAAATGATTTCGTAATTCTGAGACAATTCGTTAATTCAGAAAAACAGAACAAAAACTTCTTTCCATGAAAAATTATTTCGTAATTCTGAGATAATTTACTCGTTAATTCAGAAAAACAGAACGAAAACGTATTTTCCTTGAAAAATTATTTCGTAATTCTGAGATAATTTACTCGTTAATTCAGAAAAACAGAGCAAAAACTTATTTTCCTTGAAAAATTATTTAGTAATTCTTAGATAATCAACTCGTTAATTCAGAAAAACAGAGCAAAAACATCTTTTCCTTGAAAAATGATTTCATAATTCTGAGACAATTCGTTAATTCAGAAAAACAGCAAAAACATCTTTCCATGAAAAATGATCTCGTAATTCTGAGATAATTTACTTCTTAATTTAGAAAAACAGAGCAAAAACTTATTTTCCTTGAAAAATTATTTCGTAATTCTTAGATAATCAACTCTTTAATTCAGAAAAACAGAGCAAAAAGATCTTTTCCTTGAAAAATTATTTCGTAATTCTGAGACAATTCGTTAATTCAGAAAAACAGCAAAAACTTCTTTCCATGAAAAATTATTTCGTAATTCTGAAGTAATTCATTAATTCAGAAAAACAGAGCAAAAACTTCTTTCCATGAAAAATTATTTCGTAATTCTGAGATAATCAACTCGTTAATTCAGAAAAACAGAGCAAAAACCTCTTTTCCTTGAAAAATTATTATGTAATTCTAAGATAATTCTTTAATTCAGAAAAACGGCAAAAACTTCTTTCCATGAAAAATTATTTCATAATTCTGAGATAATTAACTTGTTAATTCAGAAAAACAGCAAAAACTTTTTTCCATGAAAAATTATTTCATAATTCTGAGATAATTAACTTGTTAATTCAGAAAAACAGAACAAAATCTTCTTTCCATGAAAAATTATTTCGTAATTCTGAAGTAATTCATTAATTCAGAAATACAGAGCAAAAACTTCTTTCCATGAAAAATTATCTCGTAATTCTGAGATAATCAACTCGTTAATTCAGAAAAAACAGAGCAAAAACATCTTTTCCTTGAAAAATGTATTCGTAATTCTGAGACAATTCGTTAATTCAGAAAAACAGAACAAAAACTTCTTTCCATGAAAAATTATTTCGTAATTCTGAGATAATTTACTCGTTAATTCAGAAAAACAGAACAAAAACTTCTTTTCCTTGAAAAATTATTTAATAATTCTTAGATAATCAACTCGTTAATTCAGAAAAACAGAGAAAAAACATCTTTTCCTTGAAAAATTATTTCGTAATTCTGAGACAATTCGTTAATTCAGAAAAAGAGCAAAAACTTCTTTCCATGAAAAATTATCTCGTAATTCTGAGATAATCAACTCGTTGATTCAGAAAAACAGAACAAAAACTTCTTTTACCTTAAAAAATTATTTCATAATTCTGAGATAATTCGTTAATTCAGAAAAACAGATCCAAAACTTCTTTCCACGAAAAATTATCTCGTAATTCTGAGATAATTCGTTAACTCAGAAAAACAGAACAAAAACTTGAATTCTTTCCACGAAAAATTATATCGTAATTCTGAGATAATTTACTCGTTAATTCAGAAAGTCGAATTTTTCCTCAAGTAATGCAATAAGCTTCGGTATAGATTACGAAACGTGTTTGTGTTTTCTCGCACACAGAACGGAGTGCTGCGCTTCTGTGGGTTTCAGGTCCTCGCTCCTCAGATCTTCTGGTGTCCGGCGCACTCGCCAGCGCCCGTGAGAAGCCAAATGTTGGACGCGTGGCGGGAAAGGCTTCATGGCGTGTTCGCAGAAAAGCCTCTGTCCTTCGCTCCCACCGAACACTTTGACCTCAGTTTCCAAGGAGGATTTCGTCTTCGGCCGGAGGTCAGAGAGCAGTGTGCGTCTCTCACTCATGGCATCACCACAGCTCATCATTTAGGAAAACCACTTCCTCCAGACAACCAAACCAAAGCTAAAGCAAACTAAAATATCCAGCGCTAGTTACTCATGCAAAGAATCATTAACAGAATGAAGGAAGTTTTCAGAGAAATGTGCTTGAGATTATAAAATCAGCCTATTATGTATGCCTTATATAACCAACATGCAGCATTAAGCTAAACTTATTTTTACTGTCATTACCCATACGGTGTCTTAATGAAGTAACTTATCAAATAAAGATTGACAATTTTTTATTTTTTTTTTAATACTTATTAGAAAAATCTGGGCATTTTAATGTGTTAACACATCTGCTGTGTTATGATAAACGCATAATCATGTTGTTTTACATTTTGAGATTTTGACTACAAATACAAAAAATAAATAAATATAAGAAACTACTATTTGTTGTTTTGGATGTTTATTTCACAGAATCTCAAGATTTTTAATCTATTCTTTGTATAATGTATTCTTTTAAAATAATTGATGTAACATGTTGGGTAACTAGTCTAAATGGACAATAAAAACATATCAACTATCAATATGAAGGTACATTTTAATGCTATTTTTTGATTTCTTCGTGTTTCATTATTGATTATAATAACGGTAGGTTAAGTAACGCTTGAAGTTGAACACCCTCATTAAATCAGCTGGTTTCCATTGTGACAACATGCCCCGCTATTGAGTCGGTTTGTTTATTAACGGGGTTTTTCTTGGTCAATAAAGGTGGAAATGTTCAGCAGCTGTTTCTATGTATGTGTCTTTAAATTGACTTAAAAACTATACTTTGAGATAGGCCTATATTTATTGACAATTTGCCACGGTGTGGTAACTTGTTGTTGTTGTTGTTGTTGTTGAAGGGTAGATGGGACTTTTGTTTAATTGAATACAAAATCTAAAAAAATGGCATAAACAGTCAAGTAAAAAAGGCACAACAATACCATATTGAATCCATTATAAAATAAACAATAATAAATACAATTAATAATAAAAAATCAGGGTTTAATGTGATTGTGGCATCTGAGAAGCTGACTATAATAAACAAAGAAGGAGATTTAAAGAATCTATATTGATGTATAAAGTCGTATTTTCCAATAATATAATATTTGTAATCAAATCAAATAAAACAACAATCTTTGGTGCCCCGGTGTGGTGACAGATCTCCACTACGCGCTGACGCCACAGGCTCGCGCACACTGACCGCGACGCGTAGCTACGCGAATACGTCATTCACATGCGACAGCGCGTCATTTGCTGCAACGCAATCCCAGCCATCCCATCCCAAACTCCCAGTATTCCCGGCGTCCTGTACCGTTATTCCTCCATATCTGAAGTGAAGTTGAAGCGCTGATATTATGGGTGGAAGTCCAACATGAACTGAAGTTTATTTATTTGCCCGTAAAGAAGCGCTGCGCGGTACGTGTTGCGTCTTTTTATATACAAACTGCTTTATTTGTTTATAGAAATGTCTCATTCGCTGTGAATAGACTGTTATTGTCAGAGCTGTTGATGTCATGACAAAGCTGGAGCCATCGATGTTTTTATTTTACAATTAGCCAGAAACAGGAATCTCTATCATAAGGTTTTACTTTTATTATTGTTGTTTTATTTCCATCATGCACTAAACGAGACCTTTTACAACACAATATTTCCCAGATAATTCCCTAGATAACGGAAACAGTGCTAATGGAATAAATATTAATAAAACAAAAAAACTTTCAGAATTTTAAAGTTCCCATTATAATTTATTTTAATTATCCATTAACAAAGGCAGTATCCCAACAGTATAAGATAGATCAGCCTTTTATTTAGGGAAAAAAAACCCCCAGTTAATTTCACTTTAGCTCCAATCTTTCAGGGGTTTTCACTGTTTTTTGTACAGTTTTATTGAACATTTTGAATGTATTATACAATATTTTGTAAATGGGGCTGCTGTTTTTTTAAAGTTGTTTTTTTTTTCATGATTAATAGGTTTAAAAAAACTACATGTATTATTATAAAAATCAGCCAAATGCTGTTTGCATATGGTGTTAAGATTTCTGAAGTTTCTGATTAGCAATTGTTATAAGAGTTAAATAACAGGGACAACACAATGTTATTATTATTAAGTTGTTATTATTAACATTATTAAGTTATTATTTATTATTGTACAATCAGTTATAATGATACTGGTATTAACTCAATTAGTTTTAATTCAGTTCACCAACAATCACATTGTTAAAAATAGTTAAAAGAACAAAAAAAACGCATCTTATATATTATTATATTTCACTTTTTTATTTCCACAAACTGTAAACTGTACTGTTAATTACAACTTTAAAAAAAAGAGCAATACTTTATTGTATTTTCATTGTTACACGTTAGATCGTGTAGTTACTGTTGTAACAACTATAAATGATGCATTTTACATGATAAACACTCTAATCCTAACCCTACTATAGTAAGTGCATGTTGTTCATTAATATTAAGTTATTATCAATTATTGTACAATTCTTACAATTAGCTATAATGATACTGGTATTAACTCAATTAGATTTAATAAAGTTCACCAACAATCACATTGTGAAAAATAGTTAATAGAACAAAAAAACATTTATATCTTATATATATATACACATAATAATATATATTATATTTGACATTTTATTTCCACAAACTGTAAACTGTACTGTTTGCCATAATTACAATTAAAAAAAAAGGGAAATACTTTATTTTAGTGTCATTGTTACTCGTTACATCATGTAGTTACTGTTGTAATAACTATAAATTATGCTTAATTACATGATAAACACTTCAATCCTAAACCTAACACTATAGTGCATGTAGTTCATTAACATTACTCAGCGCTTAAGTGTAACCAAAAAATGTTTTAAATGTTATTCATGTTTGTGCTTCTGGATGTTGATCTTAGGCTTATTATTTAGTATTTTAGGCTCATTTTGAGCACATAAATGTGCTTTTTGCATATTTAATTGTTGCAAGTGTTATTGTTTAGTTTATTATTTTGATTTATTGTATTGAGTTGTACTTTTCCCCATGGTTTAATTAAGATGTGTAGCTGAAATCAAACTACACTTTGACAGTTTTGACAACTTTTAAAGCTTTTTGTCATCCTAAAAATAAACAGACCAGCATCAAGAAGATCAAATATTCAGTTCAATTCCGATTTATTTGTATAGCACTTTTCACAAAACACATCGCAAAGCGCCTTTACAGAAAATGCTTGTTTCTACATTATTGTTATCAGATGTGACTGTGTCAAAGTAATGTCCATAAGTGTACAGTTCGAAGATAATAGCCTACAAATCATAAGGTCAGCTAACATCAGCACTTTTTGACTTTCTTAGTTTGTGTAAATTCCCTTATGGTTTAGACTTAGAGTATTTATTTCCCCCAACATTAATTTCACACTATTGTGGTTTTGATCAATACAACGTATACCTTTTTCTTGATTTCCCCCGAAAGAGTGGAAGTGGAATTTGACAACATGCCCCATAGGCGGGTTAAATTGTAACACGATCATATGACAAGTTAAAATGTTATCTGATCTAATAATAAAAATATACAAGACAAACTAAAATATTTTCTCAGTAAAATACAATTATTAACTTTTTCATATAAAATAAAGTTAAATAATTAAAAATAAAGTCATTTGGACACACCGCAAAACACAGATAGTTCAAAACATATAAATCATTTCTGAACATTGACTCACCCCCTTTTCTCAATAGAATTCATAAAAGTATAGAATACAGTTCTAACAGTGTGACAACATGCCCCGCCGGCACACCTTGTGATTTAAACCCGGCTAGTGTCTTCTGCGTAAAGATTAGCATAATATCAGATTTCTCGAATTTTAAATAAACACAAAAAACAGAGATGAAACATTAACTTTGCTATGGTTAAATAAATGTTCAGTGATATTTAATTATTATATTTTTTAATTTTGGCACAATTTTTTAAACTAGTAAATACACTAAGTTTTAAAACGTGCGTTACAACCAACTATCCCTTCCTTGCATTAGTTTGTGCCTCACTCACCCCTATTCATTTAGGCAGGAACAATAGACCCTTCGCGGTAAAGTGAACGAACACGCGCCTGTAGAGGGAAACGCACCTTTCATTTGGATTACATAATAAGAGTATTTTGTTTTGTGTTAAAGTAGACATTTTAAGCTTTCTATAGCCCTGTTTCTCATGTCTGTGAGGCAAGTATCCTATACGCCGAGTTTTGGTTCATTTGTGACGCGCTCCAGTTCTTCTTGCAGTCGAAAGCCCTAAAATAGTGTTTTTTCTCAATGCCTTGCCACAGCCAATCACGCTGCATGTTTATTAGCTCACTACATTGACGAGAATAACTTGTCAGCACGCCTAAAAAGTGTTAAACTCGATACCCAGTCCGACTCTCAAAGGTAAAAACCAGAATGCTGTTGTTTAGTGTATTTACCAGTGATTCTGGTTATTTTATGGTAATTTCTGTGTTAAAGGGACCAATGATCTTATTAAAGTTATGATCGTAATGATAACAATATACAGTAGACAATTTGGCAGTTGTGTATATAAGGGGTGGAGCTTGTCCCGCTCAATGCATGCCAATCTAAAAATACTGGGTTGTTTCAACTCATGCTTGGGTCAAATATGGACAATTGGACAATTTTAAACCCAAGGGTTGGGTTTGTCCATATTTTGACCCAAACATGGGTTAAAACAACCCAGCATTTTTTATAGTGCAGTCATTAAGCAAAATGCTGGGTTGTTTGGGTCAAATATGGACAAAAGGGGCTTGTCCCGCTCAATGCCTGCCAATCTAAAAATACTGGGTTGTTTCAACTCATGTTTGGGTCAAATATGGACAATTGGACATTTTTAAACCCAAAGGTTGGGTTTGTACAAATTTGACCCAAACATGAGTTAAAACAACCCAGCATTTTTTAGAAGGCAGTCATTGAGCGAGATGCTGGGTTGTTTGGGTCAAATACGGACAATAGGGGCTTGTCCAGCTCAATGTCTGCACTCTAAAACATGCTGGGTTGTTTCAATTCATGTTTGGGTCAAATATGGACAACTGGACAATTTTTAAACCCAAAAGTTGGGTTTGTCCATATTTGACCCAAACATGAGTTAATACAACCCACCATGTTTTAGAGGGCAGTCATGGAGCGGGACGCTGGGTTGTTTGGGTCAAATATGGGCAATAGGGGCTTGTCCCGCTCAATGTTTGCTCTCTAAAAAATGCTGGGTGGTTTCAACTCATTTTTGGGTCAAATATAGACAATTTTTAAACCTAATGGTTTGGTTTGTTCAAATTTGACCCAAACATGGGTTAAAACCCCCAGCTTTTTTTAGATTGCAGGCTTGAAACTGTTGAATCAGAAAGTGGAGGTATGTTTTCCTCTTCATTCTGGTCATTTTATGGTAATTGCTGTGTTATATCTGCTAGTGATCTCATTAAAGTGGTGATCGTAATGATAACAATATACAGTAGACAATTTGGCAGTTGTGTATATAAGGGGTGGAGCTTGTCCCGCTCATTGCCTGCCAATCTAAAAATACTGGGTTGTTTCAACTCATGCTTGGGTCAAATATGGACAATTGGACAATTTTAAACCCAAGGGTTGGGTTTGTCCATATTTTGACCCAAACACGAGTTAAAACAACCCAGTATTTTTTATAGTGCAGTCATTAAGCAAAATGCTGGGTTGTTTGGGTCAAATATGGACAAAAGGGGCTTGTCCCAGTCAATGCCTGCCAATCTAAAAATACTGGGTTGTTTCAACTCATGTTTGGGTCAAATATGAACAATTGGACATTTTTAAACCCAAAGGTTGGGTTTGTACAAATTTGACCCAAACATGAGTTAAAACAACCCAGCATTTTTTAGAGTGCAGTCATTGAACGAGATGCTGGGTTGTTTGGGTCAAATACGGACAATAGGGGCTTGTCCAGCTCAATGTCTGCACTCTAAAACATGCTGGGTTGTTTCAATTCATGTTTGGGTCAAATATGGAGAATTGGACCATTTTTAAACCCAAAGGTTGGGTTTGTACAAATTTGACCCAAACATGAGTTAAAACAACCCACCATGTTTTAGAGGGCAGTCATTGAGCGAGATGCTGGATTGTTTGGGTCAAATATGGACAATAGAGGCTTGTCCCACTCAATGTCTGCTCTCTAAGAATGCTGGGTTGTTTCAACTCATTTTTGGGTCAAATATGGACAATTTTTAAACCCAATGGTTTGGTTTGTACAAATTTGACCCAAACATGGGTTAAAACCCCCAGCTTTTTTTAGATTGCAGCCTTGAAACTGTTGAATCAGAAAGTGGAGGTATGTTTTTCTCTTCATTCTGGTCATTTTATGGTAATTGCTGTGTTATATCTGCTAGTGATCTCATTAAAGTGATGATCATAATGATAACAATATACAGTAGACAATTTGGCAGTTGTGTATATAAGGGGTGGAGCTTGTCCCGCTCAATGCATGCCAATCTAAAAATACTGGGTTGTTTCAACTCATGTTTGGGTCAAATATGGACAATTGGACAATTTTAAACCCAAGGGTTGGGTTTGTCCATATTTTGACCCAAACACGAGTTAAAACAACCCAGTATTTTTTATAGTGCAGTCATTAAGCAAAATGCTGGGTTGTTTGGGTCAAATATGGACAAAAGGGGCTTGTCCCAGTCAATGCCTGCCAATCTAAAAATACTGGGTTGTTTCAACTCATGTTTGGGTCAAATATGAACAATTGGACATTTTTAAACCCAAAGGTTGGGTTTGTACAAATTTGACCCAAACATGAGTTAAAACAACCCAGCATTTTTCATAGTGCAGTCATTAAGCAAAATGCTGGGTTGTTTGGGTCAAATATGGACAAAAGGGGCTTGTCCCAGTCAATGACTGCCAATCTTAAAATACTGTGTTGTTTCAACTCATGTTTAAGTCAAATATTGTCAATTGCACAATTTTTTAACCCAAAGGTTGGGTTTGTCCATATTTGACCCAAACATGAGTTAAAACAACCCAGCATTTTTTAGAGTGCAGTCATGGAGCGAGATGCTGGGTTGTTTGGGTCAAAAGTGGACAATTTTTAAACCCAATGGTTTGGTTTGTACAAATTTGACCCAAACATGGGTTAAAACCCCCAGCTTTTTTTAGATTGCAGCCTTGAAACTGTTGAATCAGAAAGCGGAGGTATGTTTTCCTCTTCATTCTGGTCATTTTAAGGTAATTGCTGTGTTAAATCTGCTGGTGATCTCATTAAAGTGGTGATCATAATGATAACAATATATAGACAATTTCGTAGTTGTGTATATAAGGGGTGAAGCTTGTCCCGCTCAATGTCTGCCACTCTAAAAAATGCTGGGTTGTTTCAACTCATGCTTGGGTCAAATATGGACAATTGCTTTACATTTCTAAACCCAATGGTTGGATTGGTCCATATTTGACTCAAACATGGACAATTGCTTTACATTTCTAAACCCAATGGTTGGGTCTGTCCAAATTTGACCCAAACATGGGTTGAATCAACCCAGCGTTTTTTATATCGCAGCCTTGATGCTGTTAAATCAGAAAACGGAGGTATGTTTTCTTCTTCAGGTGTGCAGCATTGCTGGACGGCGGCGTGGATGTAGCGATGGTGCTGGATCTGGGTGAGAACTGCATGGAGCAGGCTAACGGAGGAGGAGGGCTCGCAAATAATGTCTCCGAGATGTTAGAACCAGAGCCCAGCACGGAGAAACCCAAACCAGTCCGATCCAGGACCGGCAGCATCACCCAAAGAGACAAATCGACCCACAATGGGCCACATGCGCAGCCTTGTATCGCTCGGGACGTTGGCTCCCAGGTTCAGCGAAGGCTCCAGAAGACGGACGGTGGAAACAAAGGAGAAACTGGGGAACCTTCCAAACAGCCACCGTGTCGAAGGCCTCTTAGTCTGGAAATAAAACCACAGCGAATTAGAGCAATGCAGCCAGTTAGGAAGGTGATTCAGCCACCGTGGCGAAGCGGAGGCCCTTCTCCACCCACGCGAAGCCTGACAAGTCTTAGTTTAGGGCCGGGAAACTGGCTTCGACGGAGCGAGAGCACATGTACGGTGAGCTCCACGATGCCTTCACGTTCTGCCAGGGGTCAAATGAGACCTGCGACCTCTTTGCCACATATCGCCAGGGGCATCGGACCCCTCCCTTCGCCTTCGACGCCTCGTGGGCCGTGCCTCCTTGTGGCTCTTCGTCCCACAAACCTGGAAGAGGAGCGTCAGACCTTTTTTCAGTCTGACTATCAGTATGAGCCTCAGTTTGAGTATGCCTCTCCAGAGCCCATCAGTGTTTTGGAGAAGTACAGAGAGGGCTCTGCTCTCTTTCTGTCCCAGGTATATTTTATGTCTAAATAACTCAATTGTTAAGAGGTCTGGGGCCTCATTTATAAACGTTGCGTACGCACAAAAGAAGGCGTACGCCGCTCTCTACGCAATAGTTGGTATTTGTAAAAAGCAAACTTGACGGTAAAATGTGCAGTCCTTCACGCAAGCTCTGACCCAGGCGTACGCACAAAAACGGGTGAAATGAGAAATGGCGACACCGCCGGCAGTTGAAAAAACACGTGAAAGTGTGTGAAACTGTAGACGGTTGTGTAAAATAAATGGCAATACTGCCTCTCATAAATAACACGAAGACTTCAGCAAGTCACAATTAACAGCCTACACGAACACCCGTTTGATAGATCTGCAACAGAAATGCAAATTAACACATATTTCCAAAAAGAAAGTGAAATATGTTCTGCAATAATATTGGCATATACAATTCATCCTCATAAATAAGATGGTAAACAGAACGAAATAATGTACAAAGCTGATATTGTGTCCGTCTAACGGAGCAGATATAGCAATTAGATGAGACAATTAGGGAGATATATAGATAGATCGATAAATATTATTTGTCCACTGGGGAAAGTCGTAAAAATATCTTCATAATCTACGGAATCATGGTATTATTTTTTGATAAAATAACGTATGACGTATGTCTCAACCATTCAGAAAGCTGCAAGAAATTACATTTGCACTGAACTATTTCCCATTTAGATTATAACCGACATCCGTAGCTTGTCAGATGCAGAATTAAATAAAATGCCTCATCACAATGCGTAATGACGCACAATGGCTGATCTTGCGCTATAGAAGATGTGGCGAATTAATGGAAGGATTCGGAGTGAACGCATCATCTAATATATTATTTATTCAAGAATTCCCTCATTGTGTAGTTTATTTCAGTTAGGACAGTCTTGATTTCGCTCAACTCCTTGGCCACCTCTCTAATTGAATTAATGACTAGACGCTTTTTTGCCTCGACTTTGATGTCCGACCATTTCTTTTTTCATTTCGGCCACAGTCCGAGGTTGTGAGGCTACAGGATTTACGCCGTCTGCAACCTTTTGCCACTCAAGTGCCGTTTTGGCATTAGTAATGCCCACACTGTGCCCTCCAAACAACATATTTCTCCTCCTTTCCACCTCGCCGACGATAACTTCTACTTCACATTGAGTGAAGTTACGTTTTTTTTTTTTTTTTAATTCCTCTCTGTGTTTAACATGATTTCGCAATTGATGAACATTAACTTGTGGGCGTTTCACGGACTATTTATGGGCAACTATGGGCGTGACATGAAGCCGCAAAAGCTGCGCTACATTTAGAATTGATTGTGATTTATTAAGGGAAAAATGCGTAGGATGTGCGTGCGCACGGTTTTATAAATCCGAATATTTCTTAATGTTTCATCCGTACGCCACTTCTGACGCAAATCCTACGCAAAGTTTTATAAATGAGGCCCCTGCACTCTAAAAAATCTTGTATTATAGACAGGGGATAACGTTGACAAATGACTATATAGAAAGCACACGCTTGTAGGTCTTCAGGTGATGATTAAACAATCAAATAATTAGTCTTCAGATTCCAGTTTTTGTTTTTCGATTCCAGTCTTTCAGTTCCCCCTGTAGTCAATCATTTAATTCCTTAAAACTCATCTTTGATCACCAAAATTACATCTTTACATTTTTTTCTTGAAAAAATAATACTTCGCGCTTTCGAATAGCTTAAATGTAACTCGACACCCTTGCCTCATTTAGTATTCACGACTCTATGAATATGCAAATGAGCTCAGCCTCCACTCCCTCACTCACTCAGAGATCCACCGGTTGACGATCACACGTTGATCTGATTGGTTACAAGGCCGTTTCTGGCGTCAGAACCACCAGCGATTTCAAAGCGTGTTTTTGAGACTGTCTTTGGTTCACTGAAAATACTCAGCAATGCTGTCGACTTATGAACTTACACATGGTTTGTCTTAAAGCGTATTAAAAACCTCACATAGACACATAAACTACATTAAACTCTGGATTTTCACCACAGGGGGACTTTAAAACAATGCGTTCATTGCTGGAGCCACTTTAATAGTTCCCTTTTCTCTCTGTTTGATTATCTATTCTCCACATACATGAGGAGTCATTAGTAGATTATACATACCGTAGATTAGTGGTGAAAAAGGCTGTACGTTAACAGCAGTTGCTTACTCTGCAAAATATTGCCCCCAGAATGCGTTTTTTGCCATTTTATCGTCTTCTTCCAAGTGCAATTATGATGTCTTAAAAATGTTTGCTCAGCTTGCTAGCTATAATGACTGTTCCATTGGTCCTACCTCATGCATTTTTCCAGGCAATTGGGATTATGGAGTGTGTGTTGAGAAAGTATGAGACCTATGAAAACTTTGAAGAGGTCACAGGGGGAAACTTGCTACCGAAGAGTCAAGTGTGGGCCGCCACACGCAAGTACCTACAGAAGGAGGGTTGTGTCGGTGAGGTGTGTGGATATCATTGGAGAATAAGTGTTTGTGTATTAGCGTCCTGCCAAATAACCAATGTCATATTCTGTCAACAGGTGGTTGTAAGTCTCTCTGATGAGCTTCTGTCCCAGGCGGTAATGATGGTGGAGAGTTGTCGACCAACACTAACTATTAACTTGTCAGGAGCACGCCAACACTGGCTCGAGGGCATGCTTAGACACGAGATTGGTATGAACTTTAACCTAAACAGATCGTGAAAGTCCTTTTAGCCTTTGGTTTAGACGGACAATGCTTGTTTCTGTTGTGTCACACCTGGTTTGGACGAAATTTTGTAATATTATATTGACATTTTTCTGGTAGCTGTTAAGGGCTGTACACACCGGGACGAATATCGGCGCACGTTATTCGCCAGCGTTTTTAAACGCGTTTTTTATGTTCACACCCAAGCGGTTTTCACTGACGATGAGCCGAGTGAACATGCATATTCATTCCCTGACATTAGATGGCGCCAATTTCTCATTTCTCGCCAAAACAGTTCTCTTTTAGCAAGATGTTTGTAGTCGCAGTCGCGTTTCTCATATAGTTCTTTTTGTTCTAACACCAACGAGACCAGCAGCTCTACATTCATCTTGCCTTGCATCTTCCTCGTCTTATTACTACCTGGCAGTGAAGACGCTACTTGGCATATCTCTTCTTTGCCGTTACGTACGTGTGCTCGGCAAGACCGTTTTGTGTTTGAGCGCCCCCAAGTTGTGTTTTACTGTAACTTCAGAAGCTCCAAACACGTGAGCAAAACCGCCAATCTCATTGGTCGTATAGTTTTTGACGTGGCGCGTCAAACTAAAAAAACGAACCCGAGGCGTTTTTTTTAAAAAGACACTTTTACGCGTGGCGTTTTCCGCGTTGGTGTGAACACTCACATTGGCGCCCTTTGTTTAGTCACGAGGCGTTAAACGTCGCGAATATCACACGCGAAATTTGTCCCGGTGTGAACAGGCCTTTAATCATATGTGACCCAAAACCTCATGGGTCATTATTTTGCATTTGAGAGTTATACATTACATGAAAGGTGGATAAATAAGCTTTCCATTGATGTATGGTTTGTTGGGATAGGACAATATTTGTCCGAGAGATACAACTATTGGAAAATCTGGAATCTGAGGGTGAAAAAATAAGAATTAGTTAAAAGAATTAGTTAAATTAAAAGAAGAAATAATAATTTTAGAATAAAATTTTATATATTTACGGTAAGAAATTTACAAAATATCTTCATGGAGCATGATCTTAATATCCTAATGATTTTTGGCATAATAGAAAAATCGAAAATATTGACCCATACAATGTATTGTTGGCTATTGCTACAAATATACTCATGCGACATGTGACTATTTCTGTGATCCAGGGTCACATATAGTCTTTTGTCTTGAAAACCTGCCCTTCCAGCAATTGTTTGACTCTCGTCGCAGGCACACATTACTTGCGGGGTGTGAATAACAGTATGCAGCCGTGGGCCACTTCTGTCGGGAGAAAGCAGTTTGGCCTGAAACCAGCGAATCCCACCGAAGAGGGTCTCGCGAGTCTGCACAGCGTGTTGCTACGGAAACAGCCGTTCCTGTGGCGAGCCGCTCTGCTGTACTACACCGTCCATCACGCCGCGAGCATGAGCTTCAGCCAACTGTTCAGCCACATCGGACGCTTCGTGCGCGACCCAGCTGTGCGCTGGGAATACTGCCTGCGTGCCAAACGGGGACAGACGGACACCTCGAGACCAGGTGATCGCTAACAATAGAACTGAGGAGAAGTGTGTGAATGCAAGATTATTGCACTTGAGAAAGCAAACATTATGATCTACAATTTAAGGTTTTAATACTATTCTGAGTCTGTCTATCCATCCATCCGTCCTTCCATCTATCTATCGTTGCTTATCTATCCATCCATCTATCTATAGGTCTATTTATCTATTGTTCTATATAGGTCTATATGTCTATCGGTCTATATATCTATCAGTCTGTATATCTGCCGGTCTATCTATCTGCCTATCCATCTATACTGTAGGTGTATCTATCTTATCTATCTATCTATAGGTCTGTATCTGTATATCTATAGGTCAATATATCTATAGAGGTCAATCTATCTATAGGTATCTATATAGGTCTGTCTTTCTGTATGTCTATTGGTCTCCATCTATAGGTCTATCTATCTTTAGGTCTGTCTCGCTGTACATCTATAGTTCTATATATCTATAGGTCTATCTATCTACAGGTCTGTCTCTCTGTATATCTATAGTTCTATACTGTATATCTATAGGTCTATCTATCTATAGGTCTGTCTTTCTGTATATCTATAGTTCTATATATCTATAGGTCTATTTATCTACAGGTCTGTCCTTCTGTATATCTATAGTTCTATATATCTATAGGTCTATTTATCTACAGGTCTGTCCTTCTGTATATCTATAGTTCTATATATCTATAGGTCTGTCTTTCTGTATGTCTATAGTATATATATCTATAGGTCTATCTATCTATCTATAGGTCTGTCCTGTATATCTATAGGTATATCTATAGTTCTATATATCTATAGGTCTATCTATCTATAGGTCTGTCTTTCTGTATGTCTATAGTTTATATATATATATATATATATATATATATATATATATAGGTCTATCTCTGTATATCTATAGTTCTATATACCTATAGGTCTATCTATCTATAGGTCTGTCTTTATGTATGTCTATAGGTCTCCATCTATAGGTCTATCTATCTATAGGTCTGTCTTTCTGTATATCTATAGGTCTCCATCTATTGGTCTGTCTATAGGTCCATCTATCTATAGGTCTGTATATCTACTTATCTATAAGTCTCTATCTATAGGTCTATCAACATGACAGTAACACCCTAAACCGTTAGCAGTGTGTTAAAAACACAGTAGCAATAAAACCATGCTAGAAACATTTTAGCAAAACATTTTTTTTTTTTGTCAAACTTTACTCTCTGGTTTCATATTGCCTCTCTATATTTGTAACTAAGTTTTTTTATGTGTGTGTGTGTGTGTACAGGTTGCTTTAGTAAAGATCAAGTCTACCTTGATGGAATTTTAAGGATTTTACGCCACAGGAGAAACATTGATTTTAAGATATTAACTGCTCTTGGAAAGGCAAGTCCTATTAATGCTAACTGTTTTAATGCAATTTTCCAACTATCCCTTTAAGGATGTTTATACATACCACTTTCTGTAACTCCTGTTTTAGGTTTCCTATGAGGATGTGGAGAGACTTCGGCATTTGGCCGTTCTAAAGAGAACCAGGATCCCTCACTTCATGCAGGACGAAGAGCGATATCTTCAACACCTCGACCACATCGTCACCGTGAATGAACTGAGTGACGCGGAGCTTCAAGAGCTCATTCCATGAAGATCTGAACCAGACACCATTCACAAACCACCAAACCGTTTAATCAGTCGTCTCCAAAAATCATAATCAAAAAAAAAAAAAAAAAAAGCGTCCGGTTTTTAAAACATACGATTGATATAATCTTGGATGGTTTATCATGAAAACGAAATTCATGATGATCATCCATAAAAATGTAAAAAGTATTACATACAGCATGGTTGTGTCCAATGATTGATGTAGTAATTTGCTATATCAAGTGCCATATTACTCAGCAAGTCTGTTTACAAATACAATGATTGTCTGTTTTGTAAAAACGACATGAATCTCAGGCATGAAAGACATGTTTAGATTCTCGCAAACCGAAGTTATGTTCGCAATAACATACTACCATACTCACTATCTTTGTAGTACACTCTTAGAAGGTTCTATATAGAACCTTAAAAGGTTCTATCAGCGCTACGTATTTGGAACCCCTAAAAGGTTCTATACACTCTTAAACAAAGGGTTCCTCTGGGTTCTATATAGAACCCTGGGGTTCCGTACTTGGCCAATAGAACCTTTTACCAAAAAAAAAAGGTTCTATATAGAACCATTTTGGAGTTCCATATATGAAGCGGGGGATGAAACCATTTCTGGTTCTAAACAGAACCATTTCTTCTAAGAGTGTGTACTGTGCACTAGACCTGCGTGATTCTGGACAAATTGATATTCACAATTTGTTGTTTAAAATGGAGATTACGATTCTCCCACCATTCTGAATAGACAATTGAAAAATTACGTAATTTACTTGAATGCAGTTAATTTTAAATGAAATTTTTTAAACGGGTTGAGCGAATGATTCAATGACTCATTAGTGTTTTTAAACGAATCTCTTCAATGAATGATTCAATGACAAACGCATTTTTTAACAGTCACGTGTCGCCACCTACTGGTGTAAGGATAATCTTCAATTAAAGCGTCAATTACTGATCGCTAACATCAGCATCAGTGTTTATATCCGACCTTTAAACATTTATCTGTGATCATTTGAATTATTATAAGACAGAAATAACGATACTGTGTGGTTGAAAAGACTTAGTAGTCGAATCAGGTGTTTGAATCAAGATCTTTTAACGATGAATCGTGCAGCTCTACAGTGCACAGTATGCACATTTTCTGAATGCATGTAATACTGTACATGAAGGATTTAGTACATTATGCTAAAATGTGCAGTCAGAACTGTAATGCAATGGGCTTGACAGTGTTTCTTGATTCATTAGTTGATCAGACTGAACAAAATAGGATAACGCAACTGCATAAAGTCCTAATTATTTCAACGCGATGTTACATGCCGATTTAAACGTACAATGTAGAGATCATCTATTGCATTGCATACAATATTCCACTTGAACGCCGCCATACTCGTGAGAAGCTGAAAGATGGTCATGTAGCATTTTAATTGCATTTAGAATATAACATTCTATCATGCTAGCTAGTATTTATATCCAGTGTTGTAGTACTCGAGACTCGGACTCGTCTCGGACTCGAGACCATATTTTAATGGTCTTGGTCTTGTCATGGACTCTTGTCCATTTGGACTCGGAATTGACTCGTACTCGATCATTTTTTTTTAGGACTCGGACTTATTCCCGAGTCCACTCGTGTTCAATTCAAAATATTTTTCATGATTATTAATGTATGTTAATAAAATATTTCTTTAAATTGATTGACATGCCCAGTGATTGGTGATTTTCTAGTGCGCAACTGCGCATGACAAATTGTAATAAAATTGCTTTTAACACCACCTACTATGTGGCCTTTTTACCCTAAACTGATCATATTTTTTAAACTCTAAGTAAATTCAGTAAAAAAAAAATAAAAAAAAAGGATTTCTCTAAGTAAATAAAAGTAAATTAGGTAATCAACCCTCACTGGTCTCGGTCTCGACTCGGACTCGACCGTCTCTGGTCTCGACTCTCCATGGACTCGGTCTTGACTCGGACTCGACTCTCTCTGGTCTCGGTCTAGACTCGGACTCGACTCTCTCTGGTCTCGGTCTAGACTCGGACTCGAGTGAGGTGGTCTCGACTACAACACTGTTTATATCACTCACACACACAAAAGGCAGAACTATATCAGCACTTAAAACCACCGACAGTATTTCACACTTGAACCTATAAGCACTTCATTGAGGTCCTTTTTAGTTTCTCTATTATTTATGTATTTATTATTTGCTTCTTGTATTCACGTTAAGCACTGAATGTTTGTGGTATTAGCTTTACACGCAGTAGCTAATGCATTTTTTCAACTTAGTAGGCCTGCGCCAGAGAAACGAGATTTTTTGAATTTTGTCTTTTTACTTGAAGAGTAATTAGCTGGTGAAGTGGATTTACTTATTGTAGAGTTAAGGAAAGTTATCATGAGTATTGCATTGTTTGAAGCCGACGTCACGAACAGACAGGGAAGATTTTAAAAACGAGCGGTTCATACATAAATTTGGAAGATCTTACCTTCACGATGTGGAAATACAAACCGGTCACCAAGGCTTCCACAATCGCTTATGAATTAAAAAAAGAAAAAAAGAATGGCCTCCTTTGTCACTCTTATGTTTCGAAATCAGGGCTTATGAAGTATTGCATCTATAATCAGTGTTCTTCGGAGAGTACCCTCGTGGTCTTCACTCCCCGTGGTAATGTGACGGTAACCTCAGCCTTTCGTACCCGTGTAAAGCAGTCCAGCTGGCCAGCTTCCTCACTGTGCATCTTAAGATTGTGACGGACTCAGGAAGAATGATGGGAGGTCATGTGGATGTGCCTTATATGGGTTCAAAACTCATGTGTCGTGTCATCTTATTATATGCTTGAAATTATCCATTTGTATTTATTATCATTGTCAGTACTGCACGAATATTGCACATTTCACAATAAGTTGTTATCTTATTAAACTTGTACACTGAAGACCCTACAATCATTGTCTGAGTGCTGAATTTGAAGTAAAACACATTAAATTTTCACTATATTATTAAAGATGTGCCCTTTTGCAAAATATTTGGGCTCTACTGTAATAGATATTCATGCTTGAATGTTAAAAAAAAACTTTGTTGCAGCTTTTCCCAGTAATGCATCTCACATACGACGTCTTAACTCGCTGCTGAACTACGATGCATCGTTGAAGTAATCAAGTCGATAGTCGCAAATTTGTCATTCAACCACGAGGTGGTGTAGTAATTTCTTTTCAAGTGCCCGTGTAGTCAATTTTAACACCGATGAACACCAAAATTACACATTTAAATGATTTGCTTTGAAAAAAAAAATTCTCGAATGTAACTCGACACCATTGCCTCATTTAGTATTCGCGGTTCTATGAATATGCAAATGAGCCCCGCCTCCACTCAATCACTCAGCTCAGAGATCCACTGGTTGACGATCACAGGTTGATCCGATTGGTTCCAAGGTCGTTTGTGACTCAGAAACACCAGCGATTTCAAAGCGTGTTTTTGAGACCGTCTTTGGTTCACTGAAAATACTCAGCAATGCTGTCGACTTATGAACTTAAGTTACACCAGATAGACCGCTTTACGTTTCTGAACTTTTCGTTTTTACACTCCCCGAGTTTTCGTTCGCCATTCTGGCACATATCTCTCGCAGGGGCGTGGCTACCAGCAGTGTGTTCTCATTGGCTACTGAGTTTTCGTTCGCCATTCTGCCACACATCTCTCGCAGGGGCGTGGCTACCAGCAGTGTGTTCTCATTGGCTACTGAGTTTTCGTTCGCCATTCTGCCACACATCTCTCGCGGGGGCTTTATAAACTACATTAAACTTGATTTACACCACAGGGGGACATTAATGAATCAGTTTGAGATCAAATTTTGCAAAAGATTATAGACATGGCATCTGAGGACTATTTATCACTTATTTACAGATTCAATCATATGCTCGTACTAGAGTCTTTAGTACGAGCATGCACGTACGCAGTCTTTAAAAACGGTGCTTTAAATCTCGACAAACTAAAATACGTAATTGACAGATTTATATGTATTCGAAATAAAATATATATTGTACTGAATGTCCACGCCATGCAGGTCAAGTGCTGTCGCTCCAACCACACAACTTGGCGATGTTGTTTGCGAATGTTCGTTGGAACAATTTTTTCAGGAAACAACGGCTCGTTGAAAAATGCCAATATTGACATCATGACTTTTGCGTAAACATACGAACATAATGTAAACATACATTGCGTAAACTTTCGAGTCAAGTGGCGTGTTCTCTACGCATTTTGAGCTATCCGCGTGTATCCGCGTGTTTGCGTGTATGTCTACGCCATTAACGTCCGCGTCATTCCGCGTGTCTGTACACGCAGTCAAATCTCCAGTCATAAATGCCATTAACCCCAGTGACGGTTAGGTTTGGGGATGGGGTTGAGGTAAGTCATATATTTATATAACGTTAAGTCAACGGCGTTCATAAACACGCTGAAAAGCGATTATGAGTCTTGATAGCACGCCAAAAATGGAAATACGAATTGGCGTGTCATACACACGCTACTTCATGAGATCTGTCTGAAAATGCTGATAACGATGGAACTTGTGACCATAGTTGGCGAACGATGCTTTCGTGAAACGCACGCGGTTTAGTTGATGTGGTTTACTATGAAGCCCCTCCTTCTGAAAAGCACACTGTGCTCTGATTGGTCGGCTGGATCAGTGTGTTGTGATTGGTCGAGCTCTTCAAGAGCCCCGCCCCTCACCATAACCGCCAGTTTTAACACACTACTAACTAACTCAACCAAGCCCCGCCCCTTTATTCTGCATATTAAATATTTAAATGAACATCGTGGCGTGTTTGTTCTCAAAACTACAACAGATGCGTTTCAGGGAGTTCAGAAACACTGATATAGAGAATAACTGCCTTTCACGTAATCAGATCACAAAGTTATGAAAAAAACAGGTCAGACCGATTAAAAACAGTTTCATTTAATATATCTTATTTTCAATAAATTGCAGTAAAGCCTCCATACCCGACAATACTATAGTTTATAATCTGAGCTCATATCAGCAGGGCAAGTCATTGAACAACACAATCTTCCAGAACATAATGCAACCAGGATCAGGAGCCTCCATCAATCATCTACAGCCTGAGAATCATGGGGAAAGAGCAGGCATTCTTTCCCTCTCGTTATATTATAGCTTAATTCAGTGTTGATCCAAAAATGAAATGGAGATGTTCAACTCAAAGGAGGGAAGATTAGGGGGGGGGACACCAGTTTGGTACCTAGATAACGATGGCAAGCAGCACTAATACAAAGTGAATGTAAGAGAAGGACTACAGCCCATTGTGTTCATTCTGTACAAGTCTTGTGTTGCTTAATAACTTCTTGCTCCAGTAAACTGAAGCTTCACACCTGAAAGGCAGCATGTCTCTGCACGACATGTTGAGGTAAAAAGGTTTTCCTAGAAGAAAGATTCTAAATTAATGAATGATATCAGTAAAAAAAAATAAACATTTTAGATATACTAGATATAGGGGTGTGCGATATTTATAGTGTACGATAATATGGTGTTTTAACCCGTCATTACCGTCACACCTGGCGCACTGCATGATTATAAATCTATAAAAATGCATTAATAATGCCCTCAATATTCAAAATAAGGGGACAAAAATACCTCTGTATGTCTTTTATATAATTTAATATAGTTAGTCAATATCACACGACGAGTGCCGTTTTTACTCAAAATATCAGCATGATTACAAATGTGAAATGTGAATAACTTAATATTAAGCGACTAACACTTTAGACACAACATTACCTGATTTTTCTCCATTTTGCCAGTGAAAATACTCCTAAACAAAACCACAGGACTGGCTGTTTCATTACTGAACGAATGAATGGTTTGACTGAATGGTTCAATGACTCATTAAGGCAGTACAATGATTCGTTCAGTAGCTTGAATGAATCTCAATGACTGCATTTAAAATGCACTTCATTTCCAAATATCAATATTCAACGTTTAAACCATCCAAACAGCAGGTTAAACGCATTCATGTCCCTCTGATCTGGATTAAACAGTGTAAATGCATCTAAGCGCCAGCTTTTGTGTTTAAAACTGCATCGCAAAGATGAATTTTGTTGATACTGATTTCACTTGATTGGCAACAGCCCTATAGTATCTTATTATTTAAATGTAAGAATTTGACACAAAAGATGATGCATCCATTTAATTAGGTTAAAAATGGCTTTATAAAAAGGTCCAAATCTATTGGAAAATATGATTTTAGTCACTGGCCACAACACAAAACAAAGAATATCAAAAACTTTAGGAGTCCTAACCCATCACAAACACTACAATAATGTATCAAATATGTAATAAAATATCAAATATTTCAAGATATCATGTTTGTCTCAATATCGCACACCCCTAACCGGATGTTACGTCGTTCTTACCTGCTTTTAGCCCATCATGTTGTGGTCGAGCTGCTTATTGCCAGAGCGCCTTCTGAGTTTGACAGAGGCTGTCCCTTCAGCACAGGATCTATAGGAGAACACAACATCATTAGCAGACTCCAATAATCCAACTAGGATATGTAGGTGATCTACAGGGGTTGGACAATGATTTCATGTGCTAATCTTCACTGATTTTACATTTCATCATAGCTGTACATAAAATATGAGAGTTCAAAAGAGGATAAATTGTTGGTAGATCATAGCCTGGTTAAAACCAGAACATTCTCAGTTGTAACTAGAGCCCCCCAACCGATAAAGGATTTTGAAGGCCGATACCGATACAAATATTTTTTAATAGGTTTTAAAATCCGATATATCGGCCGATATTTTTTAATTTTTTTTTTTTTCAGAAACGCACAAAAAAACATTAACAGATTTCCCTAACATTTGTAGCTATTTATGAGTTTTAACTAAAATAATATGATAATGGATATTAAAAAGAAACTTGTTTCTTTTATTGTCACAACAGGACAGACTGATGATAGTGGCGTTAGCTAGCTTTGTGGTTAGCTAGTCTATGATGAGCCATAATTTAGCAATGGATAACGTCATTATTGTAAAACATAAATTTTCAATATAACAGGCCGAGGAGAGATGATGCGTCTCATTGCTATAACCGTCACGCGCTATTAAAGAAATACTTCAGTCACATTGCCAAAAGTTAAAAGGACAGTCAGTCAACTACACTGTAACAACGTAACGCTATTATTACTAGCTAATTCCGCTTCACTCTCGGCTTATTTAACAGCAGCAAAACTGGATATGATAGTCAAATTTTGTCATGCTTATTTGAGTTAAGAGAACTGATGGGGTTGTTCTTTTAATTGTTATTCAAGCAATGTATGTCTCGTGACCAACTCAACGAGTGTTGCCAACAGGGACGGTGTAGAGTGCCCTCTGGTGGACAAACTATACAACTCCAGCACTCATGACATGGTTCAAGCGTGTTTCGTCCGTTTTTATTTTAGTTTTGAAATATTCATTTATCGGCCTTTATAACTGTAGATACCGATAGTTTGGAAAATGCCTAATATCGGCCGATAATATCGGTCTGGCTCTAGTAAAGACAGAAAGTTGGCTTACAAAAGTAGGGGTGCTCCATGGCTTCTTGGGCAGTCAATCTCTGTTGATGATCGTAACGCAGGAGTTTATCCAGCAAATCCAGAGCTTCTGGGCTCACCAAGTGCTGATTCTCAGGCTGAACAAAGTTCTCCCAGCGCTTGCGTGTTTGCCTGAAGATGTAGGCCAGATCAATAAAACAGTCTAGCAATTAAAAGCAAATATAGAAAATGTGCATTAATCTGCTATTGGTGATGGCACCTGAAAATATCCGGGCGAATAAATTCATCAATGGGCGAAATTACCGACCAAAGCGGCGACGCTTCGACAGCGACACTAGGGCTCAGCTTTTCGTTTATAATCCATCTTCATTTGGATGAACCAAGATCTTTTAATCAATGCTGTTTTCCATGGAAGCTCGTTTCCGCCACAGAATAAATCATTTTAAAAGATAATTGCGACTTTTTATCTCACAATTGCGATTTTATCACGCAATTCTGACTTTACATTTCACAATTCTGAAATATAAAGTCAGACTTGCGAGAAATAAACTCGCAATTCTGAATTTTTTCTCTCGCAATTGCGAGTTTATATCTCGCAATTCTGACATCTTTTCTCACAATATTTCAATTGCGATTTTTAGTCCAATTACGGAAAAATGACTGCTCACAATTCTGACTGTATAACACACAACTGGGAGTTGTGAGAGTGTGAATTGCATGATATAAAGTCGCAATTGCGTGTTAAAGTCAAAATTGTGAGAAACTTGGAAATCTGACTTCTTTTCTCAGAATTGCATGTTTATATCACAGAATTCTGGCTTCATAACATGCAATTGGGAGTTATAAAGTCAGAATTGCGAGTTTATTGCAATTGCAAGTTTATATCGCACATTTCTGACATCTTTTCTCACAATTGTGAGATATAGCTAAACTCAATTGCGAGTTAGTCCAATTACAGAAAAATGAGACTCACAATTCGGACTGTATAACACAATTGGGAGTTATAAAGTCAGAATTGCGAGTTTATTGCAATTGCAAGTTTATATCGCACATTTCTGACATCTTTTCTCACAATTATGAGATATAGCTAAACTCAATTGCGAGTTAGTCCAATTACAGAAAAATGAGACTCACAATTCTGACTGTATAACACAATTGGGAGTTATAAAGTCAGAATTGCGAGTTTATTGCAATTGCGAGTTTATATCTCACAATTCTGACTTTGTATCTCGCAATTGCGTGGTAACGTCAAAATTGTGAGAAACTTGGAAATCTGACTTCTTTTCTCAGAATTGCATGTTTATATCACACAATTCTGGCTTCATAACATGCAATTGGGAGTTATAAAGTCAGAATTGCGAGTTTATTGCAATTGCGAGTTTATATCTCACAATTCTGACTTTGTATCTCAGATTTGCGAGTTATAAAAGTCGCAATTGCGTGTTAAAGTCAAAATTGTGACAAACTTGGAAATCTGACTTCTTTTCTCAGAATTGCATGTTTATATCACACAATTCTGGCTTCATAACATGCAATTGGGAGTTATAAAGTCAGAATTGCGAGTTTATATCTCGAAATTCTTAAATCTTTTCTCACAATTATGAGATATAGCTAAACTCAATTGCGAGTTAAAGTCCAATTACAGAAAAATGAGACTCACAATTCGGACTATAACACAATTGGGAGTTAAAAAATCAGAATTGTGAGTTTATTGAAATTGCGAGTTTATATCTCACAATTCTGACTTTGTATCTCAGATTTGCGAGTTATAAAGTCGCAATTGCGTGTTAAAGTCAAAATTGTGACAAACTTGGAAATCTGACTTCTTTTCTCAGAATTGCATGTTTATATCACACAATTCTGGCTTCATAACATGCAATTGGGAGTTAAAGTCAGAATTGTGAGTTTATTGCAATTGCGAGTTTATTTCTCGCAATTCTGACATCTTTTCTCACAATTGTGAGACATAGCTAAACTCAATTGCGAGTTAAAGTCCAATTACAGAAAAATGAGACTCATCTCCGATGTATCTCCGATTTGCGAGTTATAAAGTCGCAATTGCGTGGTAAAGTCAAAATTATGAGAAACTTGGAAATCTGACTTTTTTTCTCAGAATTGCATGTTTATATCACACAATTCGGACTGTATAACACAATTGGGAGTTATAAAGTCAGAATTGTGAGTTTATTGAAATTGCGAGTTTATATCTCACAATTCTGACTTTGTATCTCAGATTTGCGAGTTATAAAGTCGCAATTGTGTTATAAAGTCAGAATTGTGAGATGAAAAAGTCACAAGTAGCTTTTATATTTCATTCTTTGGCGGAAACAAACTTCCATAGTTTTCAGCTAATGTGTGAACAAACCAATAAATATAACGTGTAGCTCACTTAATCAAAATCTGCATTGGACCTTTTGTGCGTAAACATCATCTTTTTGCTTTCATTCGAAAAAAATCAAAGTTATAAAATCAGCCATTCGACAGATCTTCATTCTATGTGTGCATCACTAACTCATACGAAGATCCTCAAAATGTGGCCGATCTAGAGAACTAAGACTCACTGGCCAAGCAGATCTTTGAAGCGCGTGTCCAGCTCGATGTGATACTTGTTCAGGTAGCTGAACAGCTCTTCTGTTCCCAGAACCTTGGCAATTCTGACCAACTGCAGCAAAGATTGTTCTGTTAGCATACTACATATTTTAAGACTACAAACTGCAACAGTTTTCAGTGAAGAATAACAAGTCTTACCTGGTCATAGTTGTCTTGACCATGGAAAAATGGCTCTTTCTGGAAGATCATACTGGCTAACATACAGCCCAAGCTCCACATGTCCAGACTGTAGTCATACATCTGCAAATCATTTTGGAGATTTAACTGCAATGTGGGAATATATTGCGTGTTGCATATCCAGCTTTTAATGTTACAAACGACCTTGTAACCAATCAGATCAACGTGTGATCGTCAACCAGTGGATCTCTGAGCTGAGTGAGTGAGTGGAGGTGGGGCTAATTTGCATATTCATAGAGCCGTGAATTCTAAATGAGGCAAGGGTGTCGAGTTACATTCAAGTCTAAATATGTCATTTTGGTGATCAAAGATGAGTTTTAAGGGATATAATTATTGACTACAGGAGGACTTTAAGTCTTTGATATAATCACACAACATACCTGATAGTCAACCAGCAGCTCTGGTCCCTTATATGATCTTGAGGCGACCCTAACGTTGTAATCCTGTGCAGGGTGGTAGAACTCAGCGAGACCCCAATCTATAAGCCGCAACTACACCACGTACAAATAAACATACATCGGGTCACCAACACTGATCAACACGTTCAAAAGCAAATCCACAATGCTGGTATCGGACTTCACCTTTCTCATTTGGTGGTCTATCATGACATTGTGAGGTTTGACATCCCGATGCATGATGCCCATGCTATGAGAGTAGTCCAGCGCCTGCGAAGAGACAAAGCACACGCTTAACACACTCTCCTGTTGAAAACACACGAAAGCGTAACCTTATTTCAGCACGCTCACCTTGAGAAGTTCATACAGGTAAAACCGGATATCAAAGTCTGTTAGTCTCTGATAGAGATCCTGAAAATCAGAACAACATCATGTGAGACATTTAGACGGATGAGGAACTGTTTGGATAAATTTATCAACAGAAAACTAATCATTGTTGCATATCTACGGAAGAGGGCCTTAATAAATAATAAAAAAGTAAAACCATCTCAAGATTAAAGTCATTATATAGCGAGATTAAACTCGTTAAATTTCAAGAAAAAAGTCGAAATACAATCTTGAGAATAAACTCATTAAATATCGAGAATAAAGTCGTGTTGAGAAAAAACTCGTTAAATTTCGAGAAAAAAAGTCAAAATACAATCTTGAGAATAATCTCATTAAATATTGAGAATAAAGTCGCGTTGAGAAAAAACTCGTTAAATTTAGATAAAAAGTCAAAATACAATTTTGAGAATAAACTCATTAAATATCGAGAATAAAGTCGTTGTGTTTCGAGAAAAAAACTCGTTAAATTTCGAGAAAAAAGGTCGAAATACAATCTTGAGAATAAACTCATTAAATATCGAGAATAAAGTTGTTGTATTTCGAGAGAAAAAACTCGTTAAATTTCGAGAAAAAAAGTCGAAATACAATTTGAGAATAAACTCATTAAACTTCGAGAACAAAGTCTTGTTTCGAGAAAAAAATCATTAAATTTCGCCAATTTCATAAATTTGTTTTATGGCTTGGCATTTATAATAAATATTGTTTATTTATTTTTTCTCAACACTGCAATTTTGTCCCGATGCTACTTATTTTCCAGAAAATACAGTAATTAAACCATACAAATTTAAAATTACACATACACACACACACATATATATATATATATATATATATATATATACACAAATATATATTTTTTTAATAAATAACTATCAAACGTACTATTTTATTTGTTTACCCGCATGTCATGTGACCTTTAACTGACATCAGAGAACAGTAAATGTGTTGTTAAATTGTCGCGATATTACCTAAAAAGTCAATCAAGATATCGAATAATTGAAAATCCTCAGTTTAACAAGTTTGATAGTTTTAGTAATTAAAAGTGGTACCTTGAAATCCGTGTTATTGATGTACTCAAACACAAGGGCAGGCGTTCTAGACTGTGGAATAACAAATCAAAGGGGGAAAAAAACACTTAAACAGGATAAAAAAAAAGTTATAAGCAATGCAAACTTAAGCTGGAATTCAGACACTCAAATATAGACACCGCCTGTTGGTTTCCTTGATTAAGCAAGGAATGGATTTAAATATCATATAACAGTTGAGTCCCAAAGGACACACTATACATTACGCACCATGTACCTCTATCGTCTAGTACGAGTTTATTTTGTCATCCAACACTGGACTCCGATGCCCTCCCCCTCGGGTACACAAGTGTTCAACATTACCACACTTCGATTTTCTCAGTTAAATAAGTGCACCATTTCCATTTTCTTTTGGAATTTGCAACGTTAACACACGATTCACACTTTATACTAGAACATTTCCTAGTATAGAGCAAAGATAACACTCCTGATGTGTTAAATAAAGCTGATAATACTAAATTCTTACTGGGAGATAAAAGCCTTATATAGTAAAATAGTTAACCCTCTGGAGCTGTTTGTTGAATTTTTTTTTACTTCTCGGAAAGTAATTTTTTTCGGCACTTGCTATGTGAAAAAAAATAAAAAATAAATCATGGACATTATTCAAAAAGGTTAAATGGTTCTGAAAAAAAAAAAGTCACGCTTGTATTGTTTGCATTGGAAATGAATGGAAGACGAATTTCGTCTAGTGGAAACGTTTGGTACTGCGCACAAATAAATTTTACGTAAATATAATCTACAATACAAATACAAAAATGTTAGGGATGCACCGACATGAAAATTTTGGCCGATACCGATAATTCTTTAGATATGAAAGCCGATAACCGATATATGCAGTGATGTAGTGGTGCCTGGAGAAGTGGGTATACTCTTAATTTATGCCCCCAATATTTTTTTAAGCGTCCCAGCAAAGGATGAACGCTCTGTGTTATAAACAGTGACATGTAAGACTACTAGTCTTGCATTAGTATTCAATATGCAAGACTATAGAATAGAGTATAATGAATACAATAGAACACATAGAATCGGTAGTATTCTTGCATATCAGGGCCGCATACCCAGGTGCCTGGCAGGTCCCATAAATTTTATTGTTAGGGGGGTTGGGGGGCATGCCCCCCCGAGAAAATTTTGATTTTCCTGATCTCGAAATGAGCATTTTAAGGTGTTTTGATGGCTAAAAAAAATTGACAAAAATAGCTTTAAAAGTATGAAGTAGCCTATTTGATCAGATTCTTAAACATGAGAATCAGTTCCAGTTTCAGCAACTTTTCTTTCCTAAATTAATCAATGTTTTTTTGACTAATCTGTTAATTTAATTAATGGTTCAATTGTTCACTCAAAAAGACAGTCACTTGTCGCCACCCTCTGGCTTAATGATGCAAGTCAAACACATTCGAAAAAACGTTATACACATGTATTTATACAATAATAATGGCAATATATTTAATAGGGTGCTTGTGTTGTTAAATTGAGCTTATAATTTCCACTGCCTTTAATCAAACTGATTATTTCTGTCGGTAATTTAAAACGTCTATTGAAAAACAGCCGTAAATTTGAGCTACTTGCATCTAATCTCGCACTGTATGATCGTTAACTGAAGTGAAGCGTCGCGTTGGGATTTGCGCTCGGCTCGCGCTTCTGTGAACAAAAATACTGCAATCTTTGATTGGTCTCACGAACATTTTGATATTGACGAGCAGGTGTTTGAGTGCTGAAGCAGATCAGAGAAGGTCAGTTATCGTCGCGATGGGAGAATCATTGCAGCAACAAATTAGAGTTAATATTACGGGTACGACTCTAACTGGGTGTTTTTTTTTTATTCACGAAATTGGATTAGCAACTAAATGATGCGCATCAGAAGGGATTTAGAAGTGGGTATACGCAATGCCGACTAAAAAGGAAGTGGGTATACGCCGTATACCTGCGTATACCCTGCACTACACCACTGGATATATGGGCCGAAAAACTTAAACCCAAATTTTTATCTAATTTTGAGAGCCTGATTACAAAAACAAAAGTCTCACAATTAAATCCATGTCCCAAGCGCACAATTATAATGATGTTCTCAGTCGATATGACAGATCTGCGTTGCCCAGATTTTCATTTTTTGAAGAGATTTCAATCATATTTCAAGATTTTCAAAAACATAATCAGTTCTCAACAAGTGTCTCAGCTGAAGGGAATAATACATTATTTATCGGCTTTAATAAATCAGCCACATTTTCTTACCAGGCCGATAACGATAACATTAAAAATGAACATATATCAGCCGATACCGATATGCTGGCCGATATATCGTGCATCCCTAAAAAAATGTTAAATGAAAAACATTATCGCAGTAAAATATACGTCATTTTTGACCACCGCATGAGCATCAAAAGAAGGTTAACAAAACACTTTGCGAATCGTGTCACAAAAATTTGATTGTATGGAAATTTCTAGACACAGTTTCTAAGTAGGCCTGCTGATAATATTATATATACATTTATTAAAAAGATACAAAAACACTATATAGTTGAGAGTCATTTAGCAAAAACAGAACAGTTGCATTTACTGAAAGAGCAAACTTTACCACAGGGTCCTTCACGGTGTCTACAAGACGAATGATGTTGGTTCCTCCTCGCAAGTTCTCCAGAATTTTGATCTCACGCTTAATCTTCTTCTTCTTAACAGGCTGCAAATGTAAAGAACACAAATTTAAGGGTTAGCTCACGCAAAAGAAATTTCTTTCACTCATCTGTGAAACAAATTAAGATATTGTTTAACAATTCTCTCATCATTTTTGACCTTTAACTCCAGTCACACGATGAGAGAGCAGCCGTTCTTACCTTCAGTATTTTAACAACTACTCTGTCGTTGCTGTTGATGTTGATGGCCTCAAACACCTCACTGTATTTGCCTCTTCCGAGCTTCCGTACAAGCTGGTAGTCATCCTGATTGCTGAATCAGAGCAAGCAGGATATAAATAAAACTATGCAGCAAAATGACTCACACAAACATGAAAACATTTTAAACAATTACTGTGGGGTAACAACCATGACTTTTTGACATAAGATGAACAACATTCAAGTTTTGTGGACATTTAAGTATATATTTTTTTTAGATAGTACCATATTATAGGGAGGGTATGGCAAGCCATTTTACTTTTAATCATTCCCAGGATTAATATCAATAATTAAATTTTCACTCTAAAATGTTAATTCTTGATATCAACCAAAAAAATAGCAATGTTGGTATCAAGAATAAAATTTCAACTAGTAAAAACTATAATTCTTGAGATCTCTAATTGTATTTTCACTAGTTAAATGTCATTAAAATTTTTGATATCAAGAATTACTAGTTCCAATTCCAGTTGATACAATTATTACATCTATAAATCATTTTTGATATTATAAATAATTACTTTGTTAAAAGAAAAAATATAAATTCCTGACATCTAGAACTCAATTTTTAGTTGAAATGTAATATGTAATATAATTGTTATTTCTGATATCAATAATTAGGAGAGTAATTTGACTTGTGAAAAATTAAATTATTGATATCAAAAATTAACATTTTTCCTAGTAGCAATTCAATTGTTGATATAAAGAACAGACATTTTCACTGGCAACCACGTAATTATTGATATCTACAGATTTTTACTATATTTCTGAAATGTGAAATTGTAGTTTCAACTAGTAAGAAATCAAATCTTATCAATAATTGAATTTGAATGGCAGCCTATGGTGACATTTAACTTGACTTGGATATCAAGAATTATAGATTTTATTAGAAAAAAAAACTGACTAAACACGTTCAAGTGACAGCCCTACGCTATCTCACGACAAATTCGTACGAGTGATTAAAAAGTGGCTAATTCGAACTAATTCATACGACCTCACTCGTACGATTTGCCCAAACCCGTGTGATGGGTAGGTTTAGGGGCGGGGTCAGGGGTAGGTCATTCATACGAATTGGCTAATTCGTAAAATATGTACGATTTAGCAAAAACGCAGTGAGGTCGTACGAATTGTTACGAATTAGCCACCTCGTAAAATTCGTACGAATTCTCGTGAGATCGGGTTGCTGAAACCATGTACTATGGTTCACGAAATCAAGGACCATGCAATGGTAACATCACAGTACTTTTAGGGATGCACTGATATGAACATTTTGGCCTATTCCGATAACAGATAATTCTTTAGATTTAATAACCAATATATAGGCGGATAAATCTAAATCCAAATTTTGATTTAATATTCTCATCATAGTTTTTATAAAACATATGACAGACTTGCGCTACACATGTTGCACTTTCCTTTTTCAAAGTGATTCCAATCGTATTTAAAGCAATTTAAAACCATCATGGCGAACAGTGCGCATCTAAAGTGTGTTAGCTTGCTGTAATTATTATCGGCTTTAATATATCGGCCAAATGTTATCGGGTCGATAACGATAAACATATATCGTGCATCCCTAACTTTTCCCAAAATTGCATTCACACCATCATCTCTGTACCTCCAGCTAGGCACATGTGCTTCATAGTCCCAGTATTCCTTGCTCTTCACAGTGTTGGCATCAGCATACACCCGTGCTTTACTGCTCACCGGACCGGGCATGGCCAGTCGATACGCCTTCTTCCCTCCACCTACAACTACGAGACTCTCCAAACGACTGCAAGTCGACTGTCTCAGTCGTGAAACACTGCAGAAAGTATTATGGTACCCTAAAACACTGTAGCAAGCCGCTTCAATGCGATCTCTCGCGAGCAATTGTGATTGACAGCTGCTCAGCGGTGGCGCGCATGACCTCGCGCTGACGCTCGCGCCACTAAAAGCCAAAGCAAAAAGCAGAGAGCGTCCGAAACAGTGCAGAAACCGGTTGGTTTTCTGATGGACCGCCAGTTTATTAAAAAAAAAACTATAGTAAGGATTTCATGACCAGTCTAATAAGGTATGTCCGTTTGTAACGTTAAATAACATTAAAAACAATACCTGTCGTGCCCACCGAATGTAACGTTAGCTATGCGGTTAAACGGAACATAAACAACGTGAAGCAGCCGAGTTGATCGATTATCTTTGAGTGCGAACAGCGTTTGATCATCACTGTTTATTATAATATTCATTACAGCGGTTCAGCAGCTTCACTTTAAAACCGTTCCCTCTGGATAACGGCGCTAAGCTAGCGAAATCGATGGATGGCTTTAAGTTAATTGGCCACTACCATTTCGACACGCGCGTCTCCTGATTTCCGATTAATCTTCAAATTGAGAGTTTTAATTCCTCCCAGTGATCCAGAAATTACACCCAGTACGTGATCGAGGGATCCGCTGACAGGTAGGCGGATATCAGCCCTAGAATAGCAACACTCCTGGCGAATTTTGCTATCGCTTCTTAGATGGAGTCAACGGAAATACTTTGTGGACTTCCTGTGTCTTTTCAAAATAAAAGCCCCCGAATTGTTGCTGTGTCGCTTTCATAGGTCGCTTTACATTCATGTTTACATTAAACAACAGCAACTGAATGTTCAAAATGTGGATTTCTAAACTTTGCTTTAACAATTATATTTTCGTTCTATACTTTGTTTATATTGTAAGCGACTTAATTTGTTTATGAGTGTTGTCAAAATGATTAATCGCAATTAATCACATCTACATATATATATTTAAATACACTATACACATCTATATTACATGTACACACATATATGTAAACAAACTTTTATGTTAGACGCAATTAATACCGAATAATCAATTTGACAGCACTAAATTGCACTAACACACCAAATACACAAAGTATATACCTGTATGACGTACACAGTTGGATACCTTTTACGTTTCGGTTATATTTTGTTTCAGTAAAAAAAAAACATGAGTACCGTATATTAAAAATTAAGCTAATTTATTATTCCTACTAGGCCTATATTTTGCTAACTTTTAAATCAACGTTACATGGCCTGTAGTCATTTCACCATTTGGTTCACAAATAATTACAACGGGTTATCTATGTTTACAAACATTTAATGTGTAAATACCTTGTAGTTATGACATGCACCTTTGTGATAATTGGGAGGGAAACAACGCAATCATGGCATATTTACAACTCGAGTCTCTTCCTTACGTAGAAACACAGACGTTTAAAAGGACATACAGGAGGTGCTCGGTGGTGGAAAAACCTGAAAAAATAAATTATTCGATTCAACATCAAGAATATTGCTTCACAAGCAACGACAACATTCAGTCTCTGCATTTAATGCACATGAAAATAAGAGTAACAGAACAAACAATACTGACAGATAAGCCATTAACGTAAATAAGGCTTTCAGAGGCATCGGAAGGGGAAAAAAAAATCAATGTTTGCAATGTTTACATTCAAGCTGTTAGAATACAATGTATCATTATTAATATAAATTTAATTACTATTTAGACACTGCATCGTAGGAGGTTTTTACTACTTAATACTGTGTTGGATACGTGTTACCTTTATTTGTACGCTTGAATTTGTATCAAATGATTCAGTTATAAAAGCTGCTGATTGGCTGCATTGTGATATTGCGTCCAAATTGGCATTTTCTTTGCGGTTTAATAAAAAACCCAAACAGGTTCTATCGTCAACTGATCCAATTAGGTAAGCAGAAAAGAAAATGCTAACTAATTTATGGCATATTGTTTCTAAAGCAGAAAGCAAACAAAGAATCCGTGGCAGAGAAACTGTACAAGTTGACTGTGGCAAAAGAATAATCACAAAAACAAAAACAACAACGTATCCTCAAAAGAGGAACCAATCACACACACACACCGTCTACAGTATGAAGAAACAAACAGATACTAAATCCTAGCACTGTACTCGTGTCGTAGCGATACAAAACATCCATGTTTATATATATATATATATATAACTTTACAAATTCTACAGCATTGTTTAGCTAGCGCAACACGATATGTTTGCAATCCGCAAACAAAAATACTTCATTGTTTTTCTCAGTTGCCAGGCAGTTAATAAGTAACTGTAAATCTTTGTGCTACTGTAAATGTAACTGCTTGCAAACATATTAGAGATGATTTGAAATGCACAAGAGAAAAAGAATGGCTAATATGTTTTTTTTTTTTTTGTTTGTTTTGTTAGCATGACAGATTACAACAAACTGTATAAATTATTTAGGCTAATCATGCATACATATACCCTGTTACATCATGGGTTAGGTGATGGGAGTTAAACATTACAAATACATACAATCACTACTGTATATTATCCAGATGGCCACACAGTGTTCAAGTTCATGGAAGCATGATATGGAGAGCACTGGAAGAAAGGCATGTTAATTTGAAAGTTACAAGGCCAAATAATTCAAAAGAAACAGAAACCATGAAACATCTAGTTGTGGTCATTCGCATGGCGTACCAATTGAAGTCATTTTGGAAAAGCAGGTCACTGACATTCTCCATTTGTATTACTAGATACACTGGATTTTAGATACAAAGCAGAACTCAAAAGACATCATTTCTCTGTTAGAAACACCAGTCTTAAGTATAATGAGTTGCACATGAGACAAAATTGTTCGTTTTTTACAAGCTTATTTAGGAGTTGCGCCCATTCACGACGTGTTCGCTTCTGTTCGTCAGAGCAGCCGGGACATGAGGCAAAGTCTTGTAGAGTTGATGCGATGTTGCCAAATCTCTAACACAGAGGTACATGAACACTTTAAAGGGTTAGTTCGCCCAAAAAAATAAAATTAGCCCTTGATTTACTCGCCCTCAAGTCATCTTAGGTGTATATGACATTCTTCAGACGAATACAATCAGAGTTATATTAATAAATGTCCTGGCTCTTCCAAGCTTTATAATTCGGTTTTGAAGTCCATAAAAGTGCATCTATCCATCATAAAAGTGCATCTATCCATGATAAAAGTGCACTTTAATGATGGATTGATGCAATATTATCATGGATAGATGTAATTTTATCATGGATGGATGCACTCACTTTTATGATGGGTAATGCACTTTTATCATGGACAGATGCACTTTTATGATGGATAGATGCACTTTTATCATGGACAGATGCACTTCTATCATGGATAGGTGCACTTTTATCATGGATGGATGCACTTTAATGATGATTGATGCTCTTTTACGATGGATAGATGCACTTTTATCATGGATAGATGCACTTTTATCATGGATAGGTGCACTTTAATGATGATGGATGCTCTTTTATGATGGATAGATGCACTTTTATGATGGATGGATGCACTTTTATCATGAATAGATGCACTTTTATCATGGATAGGTGCACTTTAATGATGATGGATGCTCTTTTATCATGGATAGGTGCACTTTTATGATGGACAGATGCACTTTTATCATGGATGGATGCACTTTTCTCATGAATAGATGCACTTTTATCATGGATAGATGTACTTTTATCATGGATAGGTGCACTTTTATGATGGATAGATGTACTTTTATCATGGATAGGTGCACTTTTATGGACTTCAAAACAAAAACGGCCATTCACTGCCATTATAAAGCTTGGAAGAGCCAGGACATTTATTAACATAACTCTGATTATATTCGCCCGATAGAAGAATGTCATCTAGGATGGCTTGAGGGCGAGTAAATCAAGGGCTAATTTAGTCACTTTTGGGTGAACTAACTAACACTTTAACAAGTACTGCAATGGGATACGTAAAACGTACAATATTTACGTAAGAAATATCGCTATTACGTGTATTTTCGCTCACAGCAGACGGCCACTACTCTATGCACGACGACGCTGGATAACCTCCTCCTTCCGCAGTGTGTTGAACCGTGTGTTCCTGAAGGGCGCCAAGCTCTCCGAAACACTCTCCGCACCAAACACACTTGAACTGGGCTTCCCGCGAGTGAACGATGCCATGCTTGGCCAAGTGTTCGCGCTGTTTAAAGCCTTTGTCGCACGTGGGACACTTGAAGGGTTTCTCTCCGGTGTGGACTCTCCGATGTCTCTGCAACTCGGACGAGTATTTGAAGCGCCTCTCGCAGTCGGCGCACTTCATGGGTTTCTCGCGAGCCGGGTCGCATCGGTGCTGCACGAAATCAGACGAGGATTGGAAGCGTCTGCCGCAGAGCGAACACTTGAGCGGCTTCTCGGTGCAGTGCGAGTTCTGGTGGCGTTGCAACGTCGAGGACTTTTTGTAGCCCTTCCCGCACACGTCGCACTTGTAGGGCTTCTCCGCGGCGTTGGACCCGGAGTTGGACTCGGTGCACTTGTGCCTCAGGAGCTCTCCAGATTGTCTGAAGCCCTTTTGGCAAGCCGCGCATTTAAACAGGCTCTCGATCCCGTGGACGTGCTGGTGATACAGCAAATGGGAGGGCTGAAGGAAACCCTTGTCGCACTGGTTGCACTTGAAAGGCCGATCGGCGGGGTTTTTATGCGTGCGACGGTGGCGCACAAGCGCGTACTGTTGTTTGAAGCTCATCTGGCACTCTTCGCACTGGAAAGGCCGCTCTTCCGAGTGCGTGCGCTCGTGTTGCCGAAGATCCGACGGGCGTTTGAAGCTTTTCCCGCACGCGGTGCACCGAAACGGCCGCTCTCCGACCGGCTGGCACTGGTGGTGCAACAGCTCGGATGACTCCTTGAAATGAAGCTCGCATAGGTTGCACTTGAAAAGATGCTCGCCGGAGTGAGCGTACATGTGGCGTACGAGATGCTGCCTGTGCTTGAAGGTCTTCTCGCAAACGGCGCATTTGTAAGGGCGGTCGGCGCTGTGGGTGCGCTGGTGATGCGCCAGGTGAGAAGCCTGACTGAACGTCTTATCGCAGGTGTCGCACTTGTAGGGTTTCTCCCCCGTGTGCACTCGTTCGTGACGCGAGAGTTCGGAGAGATGGCGAAACGCCTTATTGCACACGGAGCACTTGTAAGGACGATCCGAGTCTTGAAAGGCCGTCGTGGACGAGGAACCCATGGCCGCTGCGTCGCTGGACGTCTCCGCGGTCGAAGGTTGCTGAGGGTTCGCGGACGAGGAATCCGGCCGGTACGTTTTCTCACAGATCGAGCACTTCATCGGATTGTTTCCAGTGCTGTGTTCGTTGTGATGTTGCGCCAGGGAAGTGAGAAGCGAGAATCCCATTTTGCACACGCCGCACACAAACGGCTTCTGCTCCACCTGGACGCACTGATGCTCGAGGAGATCCGTGGCTTGGTTGAAGATCTTCATGCACTGCGTGCATTGGAAAGAACGGTCCTGGTTAACCATGCATTGGTGCTCGTGAGGATTGGCCAGGTGGGAAATGTCATGGCCGCATGCTCCGCATTTGTGGCCCCCTTCGCTCCCCACCTGTAGCTGAGGTGGCGGATGCTGTTGTGCATGTTGGCCGTGTTGAGACTGTTGTAACGCGGGATCCGCTTGCAGGACTATCCCGTAAGCGGCCGTGCCCAA